GTACAGTTCAATGAGCTGATCTTGTCCTGTGTAGTATATTACTTACCTCAACACACTGTAGGATAAGATGACACGGTTCAATGAGCTGATCGATCCTGTCCTGTGTAGTATATTACTTACCTCAACACACTGTAGGGTAAGAAGACACAGTTCAATGAGCTGATCCTGTCCTGTAGTGTCCATAACTTGTTCTGCCTGTTGCAGATAGGTTCCCAGATAGATTGATACTTGGTCGCCACTGAAATTTAATGTTAGGGTATAATACAGTACAGATTAATGTAATGAAGTAATTCTCTGTCAATAAGACTCAAAGTCAGAAAACAGTAAAAAAATGTCTAGAATGATCCTTGTGAATTTCAATATCTTGTCTTTTCCAGCATATTAATTTATTCAAATTTCTTGTAAAAACTGCCAAATAAGACATGTGTATTCCAACGTTCTATCTGATCTGACCAATACATTACATCCCACAGGGTGTCACACAAGACATGGTTACATTGTATTATGTAAGTTGCCTATGATACTTAGAACATGTGATAAAGAACATATCTATAATATTTTATTTTTCTTCAGATCACAGTTTTGGAAGGAGGAAGAAAATTTCTTCTTAACAGAAATAAATACAACTGATTAATTGAAAGTGTTTATCTGTTACATATACCTAGTCCTGAGGAGAAGCTGCAGCAGAAATGATCGGAGGACAGGGGTTGGGTCAATGCTGTCATCAAATATGGATATCTTCTTGGTGACGACCTTGCCCTTGTCAGTTGACCTTGTGATGTAACCGAGAAGTTTCTGCACTACGTCATCAGATGGAGGTGTGTCGTCAGCAAAACACAGTTGGGATACGACCTCCATGAAGAAACTGTTGATCCTCTTCTTGTAGTCATAGTACTTTCTACTTTTCTCCCTGTGACAATCAGAAATAACAATATGAAGTCAGAAGAATAATCTCTTGACAAAAAGAAAAAGATTATTGTATGAGAAATGCTTTCCTTTGCCCATATTTCAAACCATGAAATAAATTAAATGGCATTCCCTCCCTTTGCCCAAAATTGATTGATCTAAAACCACTAAAATCAATGAAATTTCTGAGTGTGACTTTATTACAGGCAGATTTCCCTCAAACCTGAACTCAACTTTTGCCTTTTGTATAGTGTACATATTAATAAAATTTTAATAAAATCCTGTCATGTTTCATTAAGCTCTGGTGCAAAGTAACGAAAACGTTTCATGTTCAATTCTGGGATCTAAAATATATCCTCTCTAGGAACATTTTCATTAAAAGACATTCTAGGAGAGTAATTTATGATCATGTTGTTACATTCAATAGTGTATGAATTAGCTGTAATGTATACAGAATTATCAAAATCTATGTACATACGATTTATGAGTATCTTCATTCGGTCTTAAGTCACCAGGAATTTCCTGATGACAAACTGGACAAGTTAACTCCTTGATGATCATAATGTCTTGGTAACAGCGTGAACAGACTTTGTCTTTACAAGGCAAGTAGACAGGTGGTCCTTCAAGTTCATTCTCACAGTTTTCACACTTGTCATCTTTGCTGTAAAAAAGACACGGTAAAACTATATAGATAAATCTGTCCTGACAATTTTTAGGTTAGTGGAATTTGTTAGACTGTCCATTTATTATAAACAGGTAACAGAGTGGTCACTGTGGTTCACAGGCAAAACATATAACATCAAATTGTCACAAGGATTATTTAAGCTATCATGAAAAAATATTCTCATTATAAAACATGTATTGCAAATATTTCCTCATTATAGGTGCTACATCTCAGCAAAATGGAGGGGGCAATTAGCCTACTTTCTTTACATAACATTTAATTCCCTGCTACCAAAAATGAAGCAGATTTGACTGAATTTTGAGAAAGTTTTCAGAAAGGGTAGGCTATTAAAGATTTACATGTCCAGATTACCCTTGTTATGGCGTAGTGCCCATGGCAGCTTCACTCTTTCTTTATACAATCATTGATTCCAAGTTCCCTATAGGGTCGACAATGCTTCAGGGCAAATTTGGTTGCGATCTAAATGTGTATATGATTTAAGTGTGGGGATCTCAATCACTTAAATGTTATGACCCAAGGAATAAGTCTTCATGGGTGAGGTCAGGCCCTGGAGAAGCATGATTGTATTCTTCTTTTCATGTCCACCTAGCAGATATATGGCTATATGATCAGGATCTCAAAGGTATGACCAACAATGCCTATTAATCAGACATAAGGGGATTTTTCCCAAGCATTTCTAAGCTATGGCCGACAGGCCCCGTTGACCTTGAAAGTAAGTAAAGGTCCTATATTAGGAAACTTAAAAGCACTCTTTGCCATGTACCTGCTGCCTAAATATAAAAATCCCGATCCTTATTGAACTTGGGAAGATGGTTAAACTTTTTTAACACTGATAACACATATATGTTGACATTAATCCAGCTAGTACTGTACTTAAAGTTGCCCTATATAATGATTTTCTTAAAAAGCTGTTCAAAGGGAAAGCTGACAGAGAGGAATACTGTATGTCAGAAACAGGACCAACAAAGGTTAAAGGTTATACCATAAGCTCCTAGGCAATTTGTGCCAGGTGAGCTAAAGAGTTGGACAATTTACATTAGTACACAGTTGAAACTAATAAACTAAAAAGTGAGTCTGAAATATTTGATTTACCAACCTGATATTGAAGTAATGTGAGACTGCCAATTTGTTGCACATCTTCAAGAATTTTTCAACCTTCTTCAAGGATTCTAAAGATTTCATATCAGCACCAGTTTTCATCATCTGAAATAAATAAAGAACACTTGATACGAGACAATTGATAACAAACTTACATTAAGAGATCAACATGAGTGATAATGACTTATGACTGTAAAATAACACCTTAAACATACCAAGACAAAATAAGTTATATGAGCTAACTAGAACTAGAGCTTAATTAAGACAAAGTCTAAGTACCTAAAATCTTACCACTCAAACCGAGTTAAAGTCTAACCAAAACAATGTACCTAATGTAAAGACTCACCATTTAAATGGAGTTAAATACAAAGTTTATCCACTTATACGGAGATAAATATAAAGTCTATCCACGTATATGGAGATAAATATAAAGTCTATCCACTTATATGGAGTTAAATATAAAGTCTATCCACTTATATGGAGATAAATACAAAGTTTATCCACTTATACAGAGATAAATATAAAGTCTATCCACGTATATGGAGATAAATACAAAGTTTATCCACTTATACGGAGATAAATATAAAGTCTATCCACGTATATGGAGTTAAATATAAAGTCTATCCATGTATATGGAGATAACTATAAAGTCTATCCACTTATATGGAGTAAAATATAAAGTCTATCCACTTATTTGGAGACAAATATAAAGTCTATCCACTTATATGGAGATAAATACAAAGTCTATCCACTTATATGGAGATAACTATAAAGTCTATCTACTTATATGGAGATAACTATAAAGTCTATCTACTTATATGGAGTAAAATATAAAGTCTATCCACTTATTTGGAGATAAATATAAAGTTTATCCACTTATATGGAGATAACTATAAAGTCTATCCACTTATTTGGAGACAAATATAAAGTCTATCCACTTATATGGAGATAAATACAAAGTCTATCCACTTATATGGAGTAAAATATAAAGTCTATCTACTTATATGGAGTAAAATATAAAGTCTATCCACTTATTTGGAGATAAATATAAAGTCTATCCACTTATATGGAGATAAATATAAAGTCTATCCACTTATATGGAGATAATTATAAAGTCTATCCACTTATATGGAGTTAAATATAAAGTCTATCCACTTATATGGAGATAAATATAAAGTCTATCCACTTATATGGAGATAAATATAAAGTCTATCCACTTACATGGAGTTAAATATAAAGTCCAATGGAGCCAAACACAAAGATTAACCATACAAATAGAGCCAATCTCAAAATTCTGAAAGCTAGCTGAATGTTTTGTTCACCTTTTGAAAACTGAGAAACCAAATCAAATTGGACAGACTGTAATATATACAATTTAATTTGTAAAATATTATCTTTAAACCCAAACTCTCACTTGCGGATCCTATTTGAAAGTTATCATTGGTTTATACATACTGTCCACAAAGGCATGCATCTGTTGATGGTGAATTTGTCATCAGCTCCCTGTATAGAATACACGTGTTCTATAAACAGCTTCACCACCAGTACACTAGTCCATGTCAGTCTTTGAAACATAAAAACATTGGCAAGTCATTTACTATAACGTATACTGCTGAAATGATATACTGATCATTAATTCAGCAATGTCCTGATTAAATACAGAGCTCGTACAGATCATGACAAACCAAATTCAAGGCTATTTCCAGGCCCTAACTGACATTTCAAAATAAGACAAACGCCCACCTTTGCGGCCTGGAAGAGAACATGAAAAGAGTTTTGGTAGTACCCCTGTTTTAGTAAGGGGGTACAGAAAGTCTCCCCTGAAAAAACTGGCATTTATACAGTTGTGGGAACGCACAACGCACCAAAAATACTGTGCATACATCGTTCACACACCGTCCGCACATCGTCAACACATGGTGCGCACAACTGTGCGATTAAACAATCGTTCGCTCCTTTGTGCGCTTCTCTCCGCACATCTGTGCGATATGGTACAATTTGTTGATCAATATTACGGAATGGAACAAATACGGAATGCTCGTATGCAATAACGTACACTGTATATATCACTGTAATTTCTCATCACTATAATCAGAGATGTATACGTCTCTGCTATAATTAAGAGTATGTACAAGTTAACAACAGGCCCAATGGGCCTGCATCGCTCACCTGGTATAAATCTCACACTTGTAACCTTAAAGGTGATCTAAAATAAAGCTACAGGCAAAATAAAATATCAGTACTTATGATTAAAATTCATTCAAAAGAACCTGTTATTTTTTTTTAAACATTTCACCCCTGTGATTGAAAATCGAACAAAGTCATTATGTTGAACAAATTTTATAGCCTTTCATCTCAGGATGCAACTTGCAAAGTATCAACATCCTGGGACCCATGGTTATTCAGAAGAGGTCGTTTAAAGATTTGAAACAAATTTGACCACTGTGACCTTGAATATAAGTCAAAGTCATTCACTTTAACAAACATAGTAGTCCTTGATCCCAGCATGCTACTGACTAAATATCAACATCCTAAGCCTTTTGGTTATTCACCACAAGTTTTCTTTTTTTTTTTTATATATTTTGACCATATTTGCTCCTTGTGACCTTGAATATGATTCAACGTCATACATTTAAACAAACTTAGTAGCCCTTGATCCTATTATGCTACTGACTAAATATCATCAACCTGGGCATTTTTTGTTATTCAGAAGTTGTTTAAAGTTTTTAACATATTTGACCCCTGTGACCTTGAATATGGGTGAAGGTCATTAATTTGAACAAACTTTGTAGCCCTTCATCTCAGCATGCTTCTGGCCAAATATCATCACCCTGTGCATTTTGGTTATTCAGAAGAAGTTGTTTAATGTTTTTCACATATTTGACCCCTGTGACCTTGAATATAGGTGAAGGTCATTCATTTNTTTTAACATATTTGACCCCTGTGACCTTGAATATGGGTGAAGGTCATTCATTGGAACAAACTTTGTAGCCCTTCATGTCAGCATGCTACTGGCCCAATATCATCACCCTGTGCATTTTGGTTATTCAGAAGAAGTTGTTTAAAGGTTTTTTAAGACAATTGACCCCTGTGACCTTGAATATAATTGAAGGTCATTCATTTGAACAAACTTGGTAGCCCTTCACCCAAGCATGATACTGGCCAAATATCATCTCCCTGGGCAGTTTGGTTATTGAGAAGAAGATGTTTAAAGTTTTTAACATATTTGACCCCTGTGACCTTGAAAATGGGTGAAGGTCATTAATTTGAACAAACTTTGTAGCCCTTCATCCCAGTTTGCTGCTGGCCAGATATCATCACCCTAGGCCTTTTGGTTATTAAGAAGAAGTCGTTTAAAGTAAAATATTGACGCCGGATGCCGGACGGACGACGGACGCCGCACCACAGCATAAGCTCACTTGGCACTTCGTGTCAGGTGAGCTAACAATGCGTGTAATACAATATACAGTGACCATTATACTGTCAAGAATGGGTTTGGCTCCTCGGTAACAGAACAGGTAAATAACAATTTGATGAGTGACCAGAGTTTTACCTGGCCTGTACATGACACATATATGATATATGATACCTTACGTATGACCATTATGAAAACTCAACTGGACGTTTAATATTTGTTATTTGCATTCGTTTGGTCTATAGCTCCCCTTCATCTGGTTTTCACACCTTGGCGAGTTACGGAAGTGCCCTGGGCGGGGTAAACTACAGTCCAGGTACAAGGTGGCAATGTTTACCTGTGTAGCCGAGACTGTGTTGTAAATTTACACGTGTCGATTAAGGTTGATTAAAATACCCACAAAACACCATTTCTAAATTTAAGAAAGTATAGACAGAAAGATAAGCTTATAGATGTAGCTAGAGTATAGAAACATACTAAACAAGAGGCCCAATGGGCCTGAATCGCTCTTCTGGTATTAATCTCACAAATAATCTTAAAAGTGGACTAAAATACAGCTACAGGCAGAATATCAGTGTTTGACTCATAAGAACCTATTAAAGGTTTTAACATGACACCTGTGACCTTGAATGTCGAACAAGGACATAGGTTGAACAGAGTTTATAGTCGTCTAACCAAGCGTGCTTCTGGCAAAATATCATTACCCTGGACCTTTTGGTTATACAGAACAAGTCATTTAAAGATTTAAACAAATATTGACCACTGTGACCTTGAATATAGGCGAAGGTCATTCATTTGAAAAAACCTGGTAGTCCTTAATCCCAGCATGTTAATGGCAAAATATCATCATCCTAGGACTTTTGGTTATTGAAAAGATGTTGTTTAAAGGTTTTAAACATATTTGACCATTGTGACCTTGAATAATTGTCAAGGTCATTGATTTTAACAAACTTGGTAGCGCTTCATCCCAGCATGCTACAGGCCAAATATCATAACCCTCAGCCTCTTTGTTATTCAGAAAAAGTTGATTTTAACATATTTGACCCCTTTAACCTTGGATATGAGCGAAGTTCATTCATTTGAACATATTTGGTAGCCCTTCATCCCAGCATCTAACTGGTAAAATATCATAACCCTAGGCCTCTTGGTAATTCAGAAGAAGTTGTTCAAAGGCCCTTCATCCAAGCATGAGACTGGCCATAAATCATCACCCTTAGCCTTTTAGTTACTGAGAAGAAGTTGTTGAAAGGTATTTAACATATTTGACCCCTGTGACCTTGAAAATAGATGAAGGTCATTCATTTGAACAAACTTGGTAGCCCTTCATCCAAGAATGTTACTGGCCAAATATCATCATCCAAGGCCTTTTGGTTATTGAGAAGAAGTTGTTTAAAGGTTTTTAACATGTTTGAACCCTGTGACCTTGAAAACAGATGAAGGTCATTCGTTTGAACAAACTTGGTAGCCCTTCATCCCAGCATGTTACTGGCCAAATAACATTATCCTTTCCCTCTTGGGTATTCAGAAGAAGTTGTTGAAAGGTTTTAAACATATTTGACCCCTGTGACCTTGAAAATGGGTGAAGGTCATGTGTTTGAAAAAACTTGGTAGCCCTTCATTTCAGCATGTCACTGGCCAAATATCATCACCTTAGGCCTTTTGGGTATTCAGAAGAAATTGTTCAAAGATTTTAACATATTTGACCCATGTGACCTTGAAAATGGGTGAAGGTCATTTGTTTTAACAAACTTGGTAGCTCTTCATCCCAGCATGTCACTGGCCAAATATCATCACCCTAGGCATTTTGGTTATTCAGAAGAAGTCGTTCAAAGATTTTAACATATTTGACCCCTGTGACCTTGAAAATGGATGAGGGTCATTCATTTGAACAAACTCGGTAGCCCTTGATTCCAGGATGCTACTGGCCAAATATCATTATCCTAGGTCTTTTGGTTACTGAAAAGAAGTTTTTTAAGTAAAAAGTTGATGCCGGACAGACGGACGCTGGACGGAAGACGGATGCCGCACCATGGCATAAGCTTACTTGCCCTTCACGCAGGTGAGCTAAAAATCTGATTTTATGTTCAAACACGAAACCGTATATATTGTCAAGGCATTCCTCAATTTACACCAACCACAATTGTTATCGCCCAACGTTCGTCGATCGCCCGCACAAATGTGCGCAAGGAATGATCATCCAATTCCCACAATTGTAGTTGCAAGATGGTTAATTTGAAGCAATTTGAAAATGAACCTTCAACAACAAACACCAAAGTTAATGATTCCTGGCACTGTTTCAGGGCTTGTACTTGACAATTTGTATGAGTGTGATTTTAGTGCCGACTCAGCCATTTTCTTTATATTAACGACCTTATAATAACATAATGTACATTAGGCCTTGGTTTTGCCAAATATGCATTATTTTATCTACTTTTTATATATTGTATTGGGGGTCCATTGTAGAAGAATCGTGCAATTCTTTGGAGCTTGTCAGACAATCTGTACCACAACACGTTAAATAACATGCGTCTTATCCAGAAACTCACATCCGCAACTCTCAGATTTATTTTTCTGGGCCGTTTTTGTTTAAACAGTTGAACCAGTTGGACCACAGTTGTTCGTTAATTAAATAAGGTTGGACCTAGTAATCTGATGCTGCTTCCAGCTGAGCCTCGACAAAGCCTTGCAAAGCCTGAATAAACATTTGCAGGTCCGCAAGGATTTATACCCGAAATTGTTACATTTAAAAACGGACAAACCAATTGTTCCGCAGAAGCGAACAGGCCCCTGGTTACTACAATGAAAGACAGCGGGAGTTGCTTCCCCTCTGTCACTAAATACAACAACAACAGAGCAAACATAGCAACATATCACAACACTTGTTTTAAGTTCCGAAAATACAATTGTGGAATTTTCATGTGTAAGAAAAACATGACTTTGGGCAATCATATATGGATTACTGAACAGCAAAATTCAAGGACCATAGGCCAGCACTCAAGGCTAATCAAAGTTTTTTCAATGCTCAAAATGAACTAGAATACCGATAGGTCAGCAAGGGAAGGGCCCCGCTGTATACCTGACAGTGTATCTCCCGTATAAGCATCAAGCAAAAGCAAAAGTGATCATTTTGGATTTAGGGATATCAATTATATGGCCTTATTCATGTATGCTATCCTGAGGAAAACTGCAGTAATAAAGCAGAAGTATTGTAAATAAGTGCTTTATATGATGTATTTTTGACAGTATATTCCGGTTTCCATTTTTAGTAGCAGAGACCTTGACCTTAGGAAATTTTTGAACCACTATTGCACATCTGCACATCACAGTGTATCGCCATGTGAAATTTCAGAAATTTTGGCTGTCTGGATCATGAGATAATCCCCGGAAACGAAAGTGCTGACGAACAGACGGACGGACGTGATAACTAGGGTACCTGCATTAATGCAGGGCCCTAATCATGAAGAAATATATACCTTGCTTCCTGAATGCCCTTGACACAGCGGGGACCACACTGAGCCATCTCTGGGTCATCTCCAGGACGAACCATATCGAGCAATCTCTCCACGACTGGCCGGTAGTGTCGTACTCTCTGTAACCACTCCGCACGACTTGCTACTTTGTTCAGTGTCTCTTTCTCAGGCTCCAATTTCTCAAGTAGTAGACGTAAGCCCATTACATCTAGGGTCTGAGAAATAGAACAGGTTTGTACAAGGTCAAAATCATCTAAATTTCAATAAAGATATCATGGTCTCAAGTAGCCAATCCAAGCTTATCTGTTTCAGGATCTACTCACAGACAGGTACGATGAAACTTGAATGATAACAATACTAAAAGTGATCAAAGTTTCAACAATTTTGTAGAAATCTGAGATCAGAAAATCTAATTGGTATCTAAAAGATAAACAAATCATTTACCATTTCTTCACCAGAGCAGAGGAAGAAGTTAGGGCTGCTTTCCTGAAAATCTATAATGGTCTCACTACACTCTGGCCACACTCGGTTGAGGCTGGAGAAGTTGCGGAGCCTGCTGATATTCTGGCGATATGCCAAGTGGATGGCTACCAACATGGCTACCCCATCACCAGCCTGGTGTTGGAGGATGGTAGCAGAACCAATGTGAACATTTTCACACACAAGCTGAAAAAAATAAAATCAACTTATATAAAAATTGATATTCAACTATCCAAATTCAGGTGAAGGTCATTAGACAAATCCATGGTACCACAACTATTTAACATGCAAAATTATCATTAAATGATTTTTTATATTTTGTACTCACATATTTTATACAGTGAAATACTCAAATATAATCTATTACTCAAATAGTTCACTTTGACCCAATGTTTTCTTATATATTCTTTGTAAATTAACCTTGGATTACTCAGAATACTCTATGTTTCTCAAACTCTGATTTTACCCCGACCACTCAAAACCTGAGTATTCAACCTGTCCATTCGTCGAACAGGGTAGACACCCCAGCGTCTATAATTATGTGCAATTGACATGCCCCGAGGCGCTGACTGCGGTCCACGCTCATTGTGGTTATACATGTGTCGGCCTGACGTCAGTTAATTAAAGAATTAACAGCAGTACCATTAAGTACCTGTAGCATTACCCTGTTGGAGCTGTATTAACACTTTGTGAACACATTTTTTATTTCCAGCCTGTGATTTGGCGGAAATGTTAATTTGCTGGGTGTGTAAAACCATATTTGGGCATGGCAATATTAAGCGGAAATCACAGAGCGGATTCCTGACCATCTTTAACAAGAGACCCAGAGGGATCTTGGCGCCCACCATTGTACCATCTTAATTAGTTCTTTGTCAGTGCGATCTTTTCTCTTCTTTTCTCTTATCTGCTTGATCAAGTCAAATTAACAGTAAATGCACTTTAAGGTAACTTGATCTTAACTAATACTGCTGTGTATAAAAGACAACCGTCAAAGTGAGTTTGTCATCTCACATATTGCTAAGTACAGAACTTAATGTGAAAGAAATAGAACCAATCATTGCAATATGAGAAAGCTCTGTTAAGATCTTCCTTCGGCCATTGTTTTCATGATCACTCTCAAAATAAAGAAGCAGAACTAAGGACCAAGGGGAACCTAAATATCAAATTATGGAAAGAAAATGAGAAAATAAAGAAAACCAGCCGGGGATTTTAATACATCTGAATTCAATGTAGGTGGGTCGACTGTATCTGCTTGCATCTTTCTTGGCTGACATGGCAAGAGTAACAAACTGAGGAATGATTTGTGACACTTTGTTAACTATTGAATAATCTCCCAGGACCGAGTCCTAGACACAGAATAGACGTCTATCACCTCGTGGAATATTCACACAGCGATGTACTCATCCACGCTAGCCACCTCATGGACTATTCACACAGCGATGTACTTATATTCACACAGTGATGTACTCATCCACGCTAGCCACCACATGGACTATTCACACAGCGATGTACTTATTCACACAGTGATGTACTCATCCACGCTAACGTCTCGGCTGGGATTATGTTACAGATAGAATCTTCGCCCTTGAATGAGATTACCAGATCTCGCTCAGTTACAGGTAATTGATTATATTAATCTACATTTTTCCTGGTTTAAAGAGTGGAAAAGTCAGAAAGCTAAAAATTACATGGTGTTCCTGTCGAGACGACACCTGGTAGATCATGTAGACGAAGTCATTGATGTACGCCTTTAGGACACTTCGTCTGTCCCTGTCAATGATGGGTTCAAGCAGGACGCCTATTCGGTGATGTGCCAGAATATTTCTTACTGTGTTCACCAACTTAAGAGAGTCTGAAAAAAGGGTTAAAAAACTTAAAATAAAACGACAATGGACAAAATTGTCCTTCAGTTGATTGACCTTAAATCTCTGTCAATATAATGAACTTGTATATTTTTTTTGTTTTATGTTTCCAAATTGTTTACAATTTACATTTGATTCGATCATGTTAATATTATTTCTCCTTAAACTTTACAGTTGTAGGAGCGAAGGTTACATGATGTGCTGTTTGTGCACACGATGAAAAACTGTGCGGTATAGATATGGCAGTTGCTTGATGGATATTATGGTTGGTATATCTTATGGAACGGCCTAGCTGTGAATAAATATCATTTCATATTTAACTTATCTTTCCTGAGTTGATTATGTTACCACACTTTAGCCAGATTTACATGGTTATCTATTCATTCAACAGTAACAGACATATCATGTACCAAAATTATTCTGAAACCACCTTAATTGCAGATACAATGCAAACAAAGCAGCCTTACATATATACACGTTACAGTTACCTAGTAATTACCAGGTAACGGGTACAGATCTTGTATGCAGTCAACCACGAAGGCAGTGTGAAATTTCCACACACTGTAACTGACATAATTACATGTACCACAAGGTTCAGCTGTGTTTTGATAACTGTCAAATCACTGATGAACTGTGATTGGTGATTAACTCCATCCAGGATTGGACAGACATACGTAACACACAAAATGGCAAACAAAAAATACAAATAATGTAAGCGGTAAGTCCCTCTGCAGTCTAATAAATTACACTGAATTTCTAGCAGTTCACAAAGAAAAATGAACTGTTTTGTGACCATTGCTTTGTGATACAAGAGGCCCAATGGGCCTGCATCGCACACCTGGTATTAGTCTCACAATTCTTACCTTAAAAGTGAACTAAAATAAAGTAACAGGCAAAATATCAGTGTCTTGACTTAAAGTCAATTGGACACTTGTGAAAATGAAAGTCAAACATGGACATTAAGATGAACAAACTTTATAGACCTTCATCCCAGAATGCAAATTGTCGAATATCCCCACCCTATACATTTTATTAATTAAGAAGATGGCTTTTAAATATTTATGCACAATTGACCAGACCTGACCTTGAAAGTGTGTCAAGGTTATTTACATGAACAAACTATCACACTGGAAGTTTCAGTTATTCAGTCGTTTAAAGATTTCAAAGATTTTAAAGATGTGACCCCTGTAACCTTGAATATGGACAAAGGTCATTCATTTGAACAAACTTAGTAGCCCTTAATCCAATCATGCTACTGGCCGAATATCATCACCCTGGACTTTTTGATCATTCAGAAGTTGTTTTAAAGATTTCATAATATTTGACCCTTGTGACCTTGAATATGGGCAAAGGTCATTCATTTAAACAAACGTGGTAGCCCTTCATCCAAGCATGCCTCTAGCCAAATATCATCACCCTGGGCCTTCTGGTTATTCAGAAGAAGTTGTTAACAGATTTTAACATATTTGACCCATGTGACCTTGAATATAAGTCAAGGTCATTCACTTGAACAAACTTGGTAGCCCTTTATGCAAGCATGTTACTGGTCAAATAGCATCACTGTGGCCTTTCGGTTATTCAGAAGAAGTTGTTTAAAAGTTTTTATAAGATAATTGACCCCCTTGACCTTGAATGTAAGTCAAGGTAATTCATTTTAGCAAAGTTGGTAGCCCTTCATGCAAGTACTGGATTGGCCAAATATTGTCATCATAGGCTTTCCAGCTATTCAAAATAAGTTGTTTAAAGAATTTAACGTCTTTGACCTCTGTGACCTTGAAAATGGGCGTAGGTCATTCATTTGAACAAACTTTATAGTTCTTACTCCAAGCATGCTACTGGCTAAAATACCATCACTCTAGACCTCTTGGTTATTGAGAACAAGTTGTTCAAAGTAAAAAGACGGACGCCGCACCATGGCATAAGCTCAATTGGCCCTTCGGGCCATGTGAGCTAACAAAAGGCCCAGAGGGCCTGTATTGCTCACCTGTTTCTTTTGGTACATGAAACAGACATATAGGTAACTTCAGGCCAAATTTGGTAACTAGAACACAAGACATTTGAACATCTCTTAAACGGTTCTAAAGATATTGTTGTTTAAAATTTGAAATTTTAGTTTTAATGCTTTTAACCCACGTTGACCATTGACTCTGGCAAGCACTTAAAGTTATCATTTGACCTCATTACTGTAATAAAGAAAACGATTCACACAGCTTGTCTACATAACATACCCAAGTATCAGGACTCCAGACTAAATGGTTCTTAAGATATTGTTGTTTGAAGTTTTTAACATATTTGAACACTGTGACCTCGAAACTAGATCAAGGCCATTTTAATGAGTAAACATTGTATCACTTCATCCCTGCAGGTACCTACTGGCCAAATATCATGACCCTGGGCCTTATGGAACTTGAGAAGAAGATTGTTAAAGCTTTTAATCCATGTTGACATTTGACCCCCTACTAGCACTTCAAGTTGACCTTTGACCTCATTACTGTAATAAAGAAAAATATTCAAACAGCTGGTCTTCATAACATATCCAAGTATTATGACTGTAGTCCAAATGGTTCTTAGGATATTGTTGTTTAAGGTTTTTAAGATATTTGACCCCTGTGACCTTAAAAATAGGTCAATGTGATTTTACCGATAATTTGTTTAGCACTCCAAACCAGGTACCTACTGGCCAAATATCATGACCCTGGGGCTAATGGTACTTGAGAAGAAGATTGTTAAAGCTTTTAACCCATGTTGACATTTGACCCCCGAGTAGCACTTCAAGTTGACCTTTGACCTCATTACTGTAATAAAGAAAAAGATTCAAACAGCTGGTCTTCATAACATATCCAAGTATTATGACTGTAGTCCAAATTGGTCGTTGGATATTGTTGTTTGAAATTTTTAACATATATGACCCCGGTGACCTTGAAAGTAAGTCCAGGTCGTTTTAATGAGAAAGTTTTATAGCACTCAATCCCAGGTACCTACTTGCCAAATATCATGACCCTAGGTCCTCCAGTTCTTCAGAAGAAGTCGTTCAAAAGAAAAAGTTGACAGACAGATGTTGCAGTACGGCATAAGCTCACATGGCCTTTCGGGCCAAGTGCGCTAATAATGGTAAATACGTGAATTTGGTAATTGATTATTAATATATCAATGAATATAAAAACAACATCAGCACATCCATACCGTCCTCGAATTGGCAGTAGATATCTAGCATGTTTGACTCTCACGATTCTGCTGATGTTGACTAATAATGTCTGAACTTGTGTTTATTCAAAAAGATTTAAAGATATTCAGGTATTTTTGTTAAAAGTGGAGAAAAGTTTCCCAAAATATATGTAATGATCATTTTATGCTCTCTATCAACTTGTTTATGTTCGACCCTCCAGAATCATTATACCTGCTTCAGGTGTATTATTCATTGTAGTGTTCAACAAGTTCTCAATAAGCCTGAAGTAGAGCCAAGAGAAAGGCATCTCGGCAGTAAACAGGTGACCATCTGTCCCGGTGTGTCGGACCACCACCTCAGGAAGTTCCTGCTGGGCAAGCCCAGGTGACACCAGCTGGGAGTACTGTAGGCCTGTAGCCTTGGTACAATTGATAACACCCAGCCACAGTTGCTGGACCCAGTCCCCATCTGTGGCCCGGTACAGACTATCCAGGTTCCTGTTTGTATCCATAAAGGCAATGATCCCTGTCAGTATTGGGGTCACCTTGGTCTCCATACACTGGGTCCATGCTCGTCTGTAAAAACGAAATTCTGCTACATGAGTTGATGAAAAGTGGTAAACTCATCAGAAAAAGCTTAAAAATGGCAAAATCATCGGAAAGATCACTTAAATACACAGTGGACGATTCTTCAGAGAAACATTTTACAATCACAGATGTGATGCTGTGGAATAGTATCCAAAAAACCTTTTTAATCATTGATGCTAAACAACTGGATGGATATCAAAGCATGGGCATGATAGATACATACATCCATTTAACTGCAAAAGTATGTTGGAGATGCAAATGCTCATTGAGCTTTTAAACAGGATTATGCCACTGTACATTAATGCAACAGAAGAGATGTGTGAGTATATCCCTGTACACCATAGAGGAGATGTGTGATTATGTCCCTGTACACAATAGAGGAGATGTGTGATGATCGATGTCCCTGTACCCCCTTGCTTTAGAGTAAATGACATATGTGATGATACAAGTAATTGGGTAATTCTATCTTTTAACTCACTTTTTGTGGGAAAAATGGCTTGAGACCATATTTCCTCTCTACATCATAACCAAATCAAATGAGACCTTGTTTTGTCAGGGTGAATAATGATACTGGGTACATTGAATATTATATAACTAGAACTGTGTTAGCCACAGGCTAATTAATTCCAATTTTTCCAAAAAAAGATACATAACACCAATGTAAACATTTTGTAATTACATATATGTCACACCTGTCCCCGCTTTGAGCATAAGATTCAATGTATCAAGCATTGTAGGTTTGAGCAGAAGTTCAGAATTTTATATTTTATAAACAAGTTTGGCAATACATCAACATGAAGGTATAAAAGGTACAAGTGCTTATTGTAATGGGAGCTGGCCATTACAGATGTCCCCCAAACTAACCGTGCATTCAGAAAAACAAATGTAAATAGGTGAACAAAAGCCATGTACATACCGAATTTGAGTAAAATCAAAATATATGTGATTTCGACCAATCATGCAGAAGCCAGTATACATAGACTGTCTTGTCAGATCAGAAAACAGATGCCGCGGTTGAGTTCATAGTGCCAAAATACATGTACTTACTCGAGGTGTCATGATTCACTGCGATGCACTTGTACCGCGATTATTTATGCTTGATTTGATTCACAATATATTTTTCCGGATTTTCGATACGTCACGATCTGAATATTAGTGTATGCCGCTTCAGCCGAAATGCCTGCGAGACGTTCAAATTCATTGGCTGATCGCTAAAACCCTCAGCCAATTGGCTGCGAGGATGCAATTTTCACAAAGCATTCATAACAAAATGGCGGACGGCAGTAAGGAAATGAAAATTTGTGATGCTCTGGCAAGCTTCGAATCAAAAGTTTGGAAACACTTCGGGTTTACATGTATCAACGGCTTATATATCTCATTTTGTTTATATTTTTAAACAAGAGGCACAGAGGGCCTGTATCGCTCACCTGGATATCTAAGCAATCATAACAAAATATTCTCCAAATGACATCCAACTGGGGAATATGCCAAACCCCAAGACCAATCCTTGTAGCATATCTGTATTAGATTTTTCATGCCCAGCACTTTTACGTATGGTTTTGGGGTAGGGATCTCAACTGTTTCCAAGCTGTGACTCAGAAACTAGGTCCCTAGGGTTTTGGCTAGACCCCAGGATCAATTCTAATATATTGACTGCATTTGTCTCTTTTTGCCCATAATTTGTATAAATAGTTTTGGGGTGGGGATTTCAACTCTTTCAAAGTTATGACCCAGGGGTTAAGTCTGCAAGGGTGGGGCAGACCCTGGGGTTAATTCTAATATCATGACTGCATTCGTCTCTTTATGCCATGCAACAACTGTATATATAGTTTTGGAAGTTATGACCCAGGGGTTAAGTATCCAAGGGTGGGGTAGTCCCCAAGGCCAATTTTGAATCCCTGCCTTCCATGATTGCTTTTGATTAAATAAGATTGATGTCCAGTACATAGTTCTACAGAAGAAGTCGTTTGTAGCAATATAGTAAAATTGACCCCTTTTAGCCCTGCCCCTCATCCCCCTGGAGGGTCAGTTCCACCATTTGTACAATATTGAATCCCCACCACTTAGGGATGCTTCCAGTCAAATATGGTTGATATCCATCTCTTAGCAATAAAGCCAAATTCCCCCCCCCCCTTTTAGCCCCACCCCTTATCCCCCTCGTGGGTCAGCCCTACCATTTGTACAATTTTTAATCCCCACCAATTAGGGATGCTTCCAGTAAAATATGGTTCATATCCATCTCTTAGCTCCAGAGAAGAAGTCGCTTAAAGCAATAAAGCCAAATTGCCCCCTTTTAGCCCCGCTATTCAGCCCCCTGGGGGGTCAGCCCCACCATTTGTACAATTTTGAATCCCCACCACCTAGGGATGCTTCCAGTCAAATTTAGTTAAATTCCAATCAGTGGTTAAGAAGAAGAAGTTGTTTAAAGAATATATTGACGGACAGACGGACAGACGGACGGACGACGAATGCCACGGTATGGCATAAGCTCACCTTGGTCCTTTGGACTAATAAAGGTGTATCGAATCGAAATAATCAAATCGTTGTACAAATATTGAGATACATACCAAATTGATTGAATTCGAACAATAACTGCATTTCGACCAATCAGAAGCCAGTATAGGTGACTATTATGTCAAATCAGAAAATGGATAATGTGGCTGAGTTTGTAGTGACAAAATACACCTACATACAAAATTTGAGCGAAATCGAACAATATCTGAATTTCGACCAATCAGAAGCCAATATACGGCAACCATATTGTCAAATCACAAACTGGACGCCGCAGTTGAGTTTGCAATGCTAAAATACACTTACATACTAATTTTTAGCAGCCATTTTTTGTCAAATCAGAAAACGGATGTTGTGAATGAGTTTGCAGTGCCAAAATACATGTATTAATTTGATTGTAATCGAACAATAACTGAATTTTGACCAATGAATTGCCCTTATAAGGTGGCCATTTTTTCAAATAAGAAAACGAATGTTGCAGCTGAGTTCACGGTGACAAAATACACATTGTATAAGTAATTAATAACAAAATGCAAAGATATAAGTATAATCCAGGTTTGGTTATGACAGCACATGTACTTTGTGAGAAATTAAGCTCAACCCCCAGTTAAACGGAAAACTTAACATGACCCCAATTAATTAACAAAGTCCAATTAACGGTAAACTGTAGGTGAAATTCAAAATCTGAATGTGTGTAGGGATGCCCATGCAAAGATAAAAGTATAATTTAGGTTTGGTTATGACAGCACATATACTTTGAGAAATTAACCTCGACCCCCAACCTAAACAGAAAACTTAAAATTTTGCCCCAATTCATTAACAAAGTCCAATTAACAGTAAATTTTAGCTCAAATTCACATTTTTTGGCTCTTTCCCAGGAAATAACAAGCCAAATATTAAGGTTCTATACCTTCAACTTTGCTTCATAATGTCATAAAATGCTCATTGCCGAAAAGCTACAAAATTTGACCTTGACCTTTGACCTTGACCCCTGACCCGATGACCTTGACCTTTGGGTAGTTGACTCCTTGTTAAATTCTGATCATCTTTGCTTTATCATGTCATAACAAAATGTTCATCAGTGAAAAGATACAAAATTTGACCTGGACCTTTGAACCTGATAACCTTGACCTTTGACCTTGACTTTTTCCCTCAGTGTGTATTTTTGTAAACTGAACATCTTTACCAAGGTTTTATGTAAATCGGTCAATAAGTTATCAGCCAGGAACAAAATTTGTGGACGGACAGACAGAATGATTACTACTTATCTATGAGTGGTTTACCTGAATGTTCCTGCTGTGTTGATGACCTCAGCTTTGGCTGCCTCTGTTGCTATCCAGTTCCCAGGGTTGACAAGAGCTTTCTCTTTCTCAGTCAGTAAGACAGCCAGATGTTTGCATATGCCCTTCACAAGGTTGTTGGACACTGTAGGTTTATAAAGTTATTGTTCACGTTTTCAATAGCTGATACCCCGGGGGGATAAAACTGATTATGAAAAATATATAAAAAAAATAACGTTATTATTTTTATTCTGCTCAATCTTTCTGTCAAATTACTTTTCTGAAACCAATAAAATCCAATTATCTAGTTACACTTGTACCTGATTCGTTCAGAAGTATCAGAGAGTTAATAACAGAATTTTTACCCAGATTAGTTTGGCCATAGTGTAGTAGATCCAGAAGCTGTCTGACCCTTTCTGTTGACCTCGCTGTGTCCATCTTTGTGTCCTTGACCATTGCTAAGGCAGCCTGGATACAGCTCAGTACCAGGTTTTCTACAGGAAGTTTATGAGAGTGAGCTGGGTTAGATGGGAATCCACTCATATTGTTGAAGTCCAGGCGGATGTCTTCTTCATCCACATCCATATCTGTTTGTCGGCCATCTTGCTCTACTGGGGTATCTGTTTCCATGGAAATTTCAGTAGATTGCCCAGTTTCCTTCCCGACAGCATGATGTACCAACATTCCCAGAGACTTTCCTTGCATTTCTGACATCCTCAACGTATCACCCTCGGGTCGAATGTCATCAATGTGGAGGGAATGCCAATGCCCACACTGATATCATTTATAAAGAAATTCAATTCAATGTTATTTTATAAATATAAACTTCTTCTCTATTACAATTAAATATATTAACAGAAAATAGCTGAGAGACATGAATGCCCCTATTATCATGCAAATTAGAAATATTTTGAAACAAAATCTGTCAAAAAATGTATTTTGTACATTGTGTATTATAAACTACTGTAAGGTGATTGGGTCTAAACTTTTGGGCATCTATGTACAACAGAGGGTAAAAGTGGAAAATGGCTAAAGGACAAAAGAAAAAGAATTTAGGTATCTCAATGACCATCCTTTCAGGGCGAAAAAACAAAACAACGAGTTAAGGTTTCTCAATTCTCTTTTCAGGGCGAAAAAGAAGAAATAATGTTACCTGGGAAAAATTAAAATCAAAGGCTTCTCATTAGTGTGCATTTTTTTCATATTTTTTGCATGTGATTACTTGTCTTTTTCCTATCATTTCAGATCCTGAACAAAAATATGTAAACATCAAAGGAAACTAAATTTCACTAATGCAGCAAAAGCAAAACAATTTCTTAGGTACTTGTATTACTGAACCTGTTGAGAATGGCCCAAGGAAAAAAATATGTATCAATATTATGGAATTTTACCTGAAATCCACTAAAACAGCCCCCTGCTATCCTTGGCAACTGTATAATAAAGATGGCATGTATGTTCGCCTTGATCTGATAACCCAGCTGCTGTAGTTCATCCTGAATACAGTACCTGGCACAGGCCACGAGACTGGCATTTTGATCTCCACAGTCGCTCTGGACTATCAATAACATCTCATCTTCCTCTCTTCCAAAACACACCCTGTAATGTCAAATAAACCAACCTTACCCTTTATAAAACACATCCAGTGTAATGTCAAAGAAACCAACTTTACCCTTTATAAAACACACCCTGTAATGTCAAATAAATCAACCTTACCCTTCACAAAACACACCCTGAAATGTCAAATAAACCACCCTTACCCTTCACAAAACACACCCTGTAATGTCAAATACACAAATCTTACCCTTCCCAAACACACCCTGTAATGTCAAATAAACCAGTCTTACCCTTCCCAAAACACACCCTGAAATGTCAAATAAACCAGTCTTACCCTTCCCAAAACACACCCTGTAATTTCCAATCAAACAACCCTTCATAAAACACACCCTGTAATGTCAAATACACCAATCTTACCCTTCCCAAAACACACCCTGTAATGTCATATAAACCAGTCTTACCCTTCCCAAAACACACCCTGTAATGTCAAATAAACCAGTCTTACCCTTCCCAAAACACCCTTGTAATTTCCAATCACTCAACCTTACCCTTCATAAAACACACCCTGTAATGTCAAATACACCAATCTTACCCTTCCCAAAACACACCCTGTAATGTAATATAAACCAGTCTTACCCTTCCCAAAACACACCCTGTAATGACAAATACACCAATCTTACCCTTCCCAAAACACACCCTGTAATGTCATATAAACCAGTCTTACCCTTCCCAAAACACACCCTGTAATGTCAAATACACCAATCTTACCCTTCATAAAACACACCCTGTAATGTCAAATAAACCAACTTACCCTTCCCAAAACACACCCTGTAATGTCAAATACACCAACCTTACCCTTCATAAAACACACACTGTAATGTCAAATACACCAATCTTACCCTTCATAAAACACACCCTGTAATGTCATATAAACCAGTCTTACCCTTCCCAAAACACACCCTGTAATGTCAAATACACCAATCTTACACTTCATAAAACACACCCTGTAATGTCAAATAAACCAACTTACCCTTCATAAAACACACCCTGTAATGACAAATAAACCAACCTTACCCTTCATAAAACACACCCTGTAATGTCATATAAACCAGTCTTACCCTTCCCAAAACACACCCTGTAATGTCAAATACACCAATCTCACCCTTCATAAAACACACCCTGTAATGTCAAATAAACCAACCTTACCCTTCATAAAACACACTCTGTAGTGACACACAAACCAATCTAACCCTTCACAAAACACACCCTTTAATTTCACACAAACCAATCTAACCCTTCATAAAACACACCCTGTAATGTTAAATAAACCAACCTTACCCTTCATAAAACACACTCTGTAGTGACACACAAACCAATCTACCCCTTCACAAAACACCCCCTGTAATGTCACACAAACCAACCTAACCCTTCACAAAACACATCGTGTAACGTCACACAAACCAATCTAACCCTTCACAAACCACACCCTGTAATGTCACACAAACCAATCTAACCCTTCACACCCTTCCCAAAACACACCCTTGTAATTTCCAATAACTCAACCTTACCCTTCATAAAAAACACCCTGTAATGTCAAATACACCAATCTCACCCTTCATAAAACACACCCTGTAATGTCAAATAAACCAACCTTACCCTTCATAAAACACACTCTGTAGTGACACACAAACCAATCTACCCCTTCACAAAACACACCCTGTAATGTCATATAAACCAGTCTTACCCTTCCCAAAACACACCCTGAAATGTCAAATAAACCAGTCTTACCCTTCCCAAAACACACCCTTGTAATTTCCAATCACTCAACCTTACCCTTCATAAAAAACACCCTGTAATGTCAAATACACCAATCTTACCCTTCCCAAAACGCACCCTGTAATGTCATATAAACCAATCTTACCCTTCCCAAAACACACCCTGTAATGTCAAATACACCAATCTTACCCTTCCCAAAACACACCCTGTAATGTCATATAAACCAGTCTTACACTTCCCAAAACACACCCTGTGATGTCAAATACACCAATCTTACCCTTCCCAAAACAAACCCTGTAATGTCATATAAACCAGTCTTACCCTTCCCAAAACACACCCTGTGATGTCAAATCCACCAATCTTACCCTTCCCAAAACAAACCCTGTAATGTCATATAAACCAGTCTTACCCTTCCCAAAACACAGCCTGTAATGTCAAATACACCAACCTTACCCTACATAAAACACACTCTGTAGTGTCAACCAACCTTACCCTTCATAAAACACACCCTGTAATGTCGAATACACCAATCTTACACTTCATAAAACACACCCTGTAATGTCAAATAAACCAACCTTACTCTTCATAAAACACACCCTGTAATGTCATATAAACAAGTCTTACCCTTCCCAAAACACACCCTGTAATGTCAAATACACCAACCTTACCCTACATAAAACACACTCTGTAGTGTCACACAAACAAATCTAACCCTTCACAAAACACATCCTGTAGTGTCACACAAACCAACCTACCCCTTCACAAAACACACCCTGTAATGTCACAAAAACCAATCTAACCCTTCACAAAACACACCCTGTAGTGTCACACAAACCAATCTACCCCTTCACAAAACACACCCTGTAATGTCAAATAAACGAATCTTACCCTTCATAAAACACACCCTGTAATGTCAAATACACCAATCTTCCCCTTCCCAAAACACACCCTGTAATGTCATATAAACCAGTCTTACCCTTCCCAAAACACACCCTGTAACGTCACACAAACCAATCTAACCCTTCCCAAAACACACCCTGTAGTGTCAAACAAACCAATCTAACCCTTCACAAAACACACCATGTAATGTCAAATACACCAATCTAACCCTTCACAAAACACACCATGTAATGTCAAATACACCAATCTAACCCTTCACAAAACACACCCTGTAATGTCACACAAACCAATCGATCCCTTCACAAAACACACCCTGTAGTGTCACACAAACCAATATAACCCTTCACAAAACACACCCTGTAATGTCACAAAAACCAATCTAACCCTTCACAAAACACACCCTGTAGTGTCACACAAACCAATATAACCCTTCACAAAACACACCCTGTAATGTCAAATAAACGAATCTTACCCTTCATAAAACACACCCTGTAATGTCAAATACACCTAAAACACACCCTGTAATGTCAAATAAACCAATCTTCCCCTTCCCAAAACACATCCTGTAACGTCACACAAACCAATCTAACCCTTCACAAAACACTCCCTGTAATGTCAAATACACCAATCTAACCCTTCACAAAACACACCCTGTAGTGTCACACAAACCAATATAACCCTTCACAAAACACACCCTGTAATGTCACACAAACCAATCTAACCTTTCACAAAACACACCCTGTAATGTCACACAAACCAATCGATCCCTTCACAAAACACACCCTGTAGTGTCACACAAACCAATCTAACCTTTCACAAAACACACCCTGTAATGTCACACAAACCAATCGATCCCTTCACAAAACACACCCTGTAGTGTCACACAAACCAATCTACCCCTTCACAAAACACACCCTGTAATGTCACAAAAACCAATCTAACCCTTCACAAAACACACCCTGTAATGTCAAATACACCAATCTAACCCTTCCCAAAACACATCCTGTAACATCACACAAACCAACCCAACCCTTCACAAAACACATCCTGTAATGTCACACAAACCAATCTAACCCTTCACAAAACACACCCTGTAATGTCACACAAACCAATCTAACCCTTCACAAAACACATCCTGTAACATCACACAAACCAATCCAACCCTTCACAAAACACATCCTGTAATGTCACACAAACCAAACTTACCCTTCACAAAACTCACCCTGTAATGTCATACACCAATCTTACCCTTCCCAAAACACACCCTGTAGTGTCACACAAACCAATCTAGCCCTTCACAAAACACATCCTGTAACGTCACACAAACCAATCTAACCCTTCATAAAACACACCCTGTAATGTCAAATACACCAATCTATCCCTTCACAAAACACACCCTGTAATGTCAAATACCCCAATCTTACCCTTCCCAAAACACATCCTGTAACGTCATACAAACCAATCTAACCCTTCACAAAACACACCATGTAATGTCAAATCTTACCCTTCATAAAACACACCCTGTAATGTCAAATACACCAATTTTACCCTTCCCAAAACACATCCTGTAATGTAATGTCATATAAACCAGTCTTACCCTTCCCAAAACACACCCTGTAATGTCATATAAACCAGTCTTACACTTCCCAAAACACACCCTGTGATGTCAAATACACCAATCTTACCCTTCCCAAAACACATCCTGTAGTGTCACACAAACCAATCTAACCCTTCACAAAACGCACCCTGTAATGTCAAATACACCAATTTTACCCTTCCCAAAACACATCCTGTAATGTCACACAAACCAAACTTACCCTTCACAAAACTCACCCTGTAATGTCATACACCAATCTTACCCTTCCCAAAACACACCCTGTAATGTCAAATACACCAACCTTACCCTTCCCAAAACACACCCTGTAGTGTCACACAAACCAATCTAACCCTTCACAAAACACTCCCTGTAATGTCACACAAACCAATCTAACCCTTCATAAAACACACCCTGTAATGTCAAATACACCAACCTTACCCTTCCCAAAACACACCCTGTAGTGTCACACAAACCAATCTAGCCCTTCACAAAACACATCCTGTAACGTCACACAAACCAATCTAACCCTTCATAAAACACACCCTGTAATGTCAAATACACCAACCTTACCCTTCCCAAAACACACCCTGTAGTGTCACACAAACCAATCTAACCCGTCACAAAACACATCCTGTAACATCACACAAACCAACCCAACCCTTCACAAAACACATCCTGTAATGTCACACAAACCAAACTTACCCTTCACAAAACTCACCCTGTAATGTCATACACCAATCTTACCCTTCCCAAAACACACCCTGTAGTGTCACACAAACCAATCTAGCCCTTCACAAAACACACCCTGTAATGTCACAAAAACCAATCTAACCCTTCACAAAACACACCCTACAAAACACACCCTGTAATGTCACACAAACCAATCTGACCCTTCACAAAACTCACCCTGTAATGTCAAATACACGAATCTTACCCTTCATAAAACACACCCTGTAATGTCAAATACACCAATTTTACCCTTCCCAAAACACATCCTGTAATGTAATGTCATATAAACCAGTCTTACCCTTCCCAAAACACACCCTGTAATGTCACACAACCCAATCTAACCCTTCACAAAACACACCCTGTAACGTCGCACAAACCAATCTAACCCTTCACAAAACACATCCTGTAGTGTCACACAAACCAATCTAACCCTTCCCAAAACACACCCTGTAGTGTCACACAAACCAATCTAGCCCTTCACAAAACACATCCTGTAACGTCACACAAACCAATCTAACCCTTCATAAAACACACCCTGTAATGTCAAATACACCAATCTAACCCTTCACGAAACACACCCTGTAATGTCACACAAACCAATCTACCCCTTCACAAAACACACCCTGTAGTGTCACACAAACCAATCTAACCCTTCCCAAAACACACCCTGTAATGTCAAATACACCAACCTTACCCTTCCCAAAACACACCCTGTAGTGTCACACAAACCAATCTAACCCTTCCCAAAACACACCATGTAATGTCAAATACACCAATCTTACCCTTCTAAAAACACACCCTGTAGTGTCACACAAACCAATCTAGCCCTTCACAAAACACATCCTGTAACGTCACACAAACCAATCTAACCCTTCATAAAACACACCCTGTAATGTCAAATACACCAACCTTACCCTTCCCAAAACACACCCTGTAGTGTCACACAAACCAATCTAACCCTTCACAAAACGCACCCTGTAATGTCAAATACACCAATTTTACCCTTCCCAAAACACATCCTGTAATGTCACACAAACCAAACTTACCCTTCACAAAACTCACCCTGTAATGTCATACACCAATCTTACCCTTCCCAAAACACACCCTGTAGTGTCACACAAACCAATCTAACCCTTCACAAAACTCACCCTGTAATGTCAAATACACGAATCTTACCCTTCATAAAACACACCCTGTAATGTCAAATACACCAACCTTACCCTTCCCAAAACACACCCTGTAGTGTCACACAAACCAATCTAGCCCTTCACAAAACACACCCTGTAATGTCACACGAACCAATCTTACCCTTCACAAAACACATCCTGTAATGTCACACAAACCAATCTAGCCCTTCACAAAACACACCCTGTAATGTCACATACACCAATCTTACCCTTCACAAAACACATCCTGTAATGTCACACAAACCAAACTTACCCTTCACAAAACTCACCCTGTAATGTCAAATACACCAAGCTTACCCTCCTCAAAACACCCCCTGTAGTGTCACACAAACCAATCTAACCCTTCCCAAAACACACCCTGTAATGTCACACAAACCAATCTAACTTCACAAAACACATCCTGTAACATCACACAAACCAATACAACCCTTCACAAAACACATCCTGTAATGTCACCCAAACCAATCTAACCCTTCACAAAACACCCCCTGGAATGTCACACAAACCAATCTAACCCTTCACAAAACTCACCCTGTAATGTCAAATACACCAATCTTCCCCTTCACAAAACACATCCTGTAACGTCACACAAACCAATCTAACCCTCCATAAAACACACCCTGTAATGTCAAATACACCAATCTATCCCTTCACAAAACACACCCTGTAATGTCAAATACGCCAATCTTACCCTTCCCAAAACACATCCTGTAACTTCACACAAACCAATCTAACCCTTCACAAAACACCCCCTGGAATGTCACACAAACCAATCTAACCCTTCACAAAACGCACCCTGTAATGTCAAATACACCAATTTTACCCTTCCCAAAACACATCCTGTAATGTCACACAAACCAATCTTACCCTTCACAAAACTCACCCTGTAATGTCAAATACACCAATCTTACCCTTCTCAAAACACACCCTGTAGTGTCACACAAACCAATCTAACCCTTCACAAAACACATCCTGTAACGTCACACAAACCAATCTAACCCTTCACAAAACACACCCTGTAATGTCACGAAAACCAATCTAACCCTTCAGAAAACACATCCTGTAATGTCACACAAACCAATCTAACCCTTCACAAAACACACCCTGTAATGTCACACAAACCAATCTAACCCTTCACAAAACACACCCTGTAATGTCACACAAACCAATCTAACCCTTCACAAAACACACTCTGTAATGTCACACAAACCAATCTTACCCTTCCCAAAACACATCCTGTAATGTCACACAAACCAATCTAACCCTTCATAAAACACATCCTGTAATGTCAAAAACACCAATCTTACCCTTCCCAAAACACATCCTGTAGTGTCACACAAACCAATCTAACCCTTCACAAAACACACCCTGTAATGTCACACAAACCAGTCTTACTCTTCACAAAACACACCCTGTAACGTCACACAAACCAATCTAACCCTTCACAAGGCCTGCAACGATATTTCCTATGGTAATGTATCATGATACTACCTCGTGAAATTGATTTGTTTGCCTGTATTATGATACACTAACAGTACTGAAATTATCAATCAATTATTATCAAACTCTAAAAAAAAGGTGTACATATTTTTTTGGGAATCCTTCAGTAAAGAGTGGTCCACTGTGCAGTCATACCCAAAATCACTAAAACTCGTACAAAAATTAACATTCAAATAGTATTAAATATTGAAGTCTATGAAAAAACTTGATAAAATCCTGCAGTCAATCATCATGAAGTTGACCTTTTAAGCAGATATTTGTATTGTGATATGTATTGTATCGTAAGCCGCAATCCATATTGTACCATGAGGTATGGGTACCGTTGCAGCCTTTTCCTCCACACAACCTGTAACGACACATGGACTATCACCATGTTGTATTTGAAGTGTGTGACTACTCACCTGACCTGTCTACAGAACTGCTGCTCAGTATCAAATGACTGTAGGTTCAGTAATACCATGTTGTCTACTGGGATCCCCAGCTTGCATGACAGTTCTTCTAGGTCCACACTGGTGATCAGCTTAGAGTGGGTCGTAACCTTCACATAAACAAGTTAATGCATTCAATGTTAATGTTTCTTTTTAAATAAAATACTTAATTAAACTCAAACTATAAACATCCATTATTTCGTTTCTCAATTATTTTCCTGTCTGTGACTAAAACTTGTGTGTTCTGAAGCAAGGAAATACTGAAAGTTGGCAGTAAAACTTCTTATTTAAGAAAAAAATTGAAATGATATCTTAATATTCATATTTGTTACCTGAGCAAAATGGCTGTCACTTTTCTCCTGCCTGATTTTCTGGTAGAGGTAATCGGACAGACACTGGTGCTGCTGTTCCTGCCAGTAAATCTCACTCAAGCTAGCTTCTTCTCGAGCTATGGGTGTTGTAGGCAGTCTCATCACCGCATCTGGTGTAGCACACCACAGCAACACTCTCTTGGCCGAGTCATACACCTGACAGGGAACAACCACAACCAAAATGATGTCTCAATACCCTTGATAGTCATTGCTTATTGTAAGTCTAAGGTTACCTCTTTATGGCAAGTTTGTTCAACATAAACTTGAATTCGAAAGTTGAAAACTAAATATGAGAATTTCGAATACAGTATATACCTGTTCATTGTTGACTTGTCCCTCCCTGTAGTGTTGTTGGTACACATGAAGCACAATGGCAGCACAGCTATCGGCATGGTAACCCATAAACACATCTCCTACAGAAAACTCCTCTTTCTTCATTCTGTCAAAAAAAACATCACAGCTTTATTTTATTTTTTTACGTTTTTCAATATTCAACAAAAATTGACAAATATATCACCATGAATATTTCAGTATAGCAAAGCAAATCATGTCACATACCTTTTTTTATCATCTAGAAATGATAGATGATCTTTACCAAGACATATCCATAAGATGTCTTTGCCAGGACACAGATGAGATGAATTGAACCTTTGTTCTATTGCTTGACAGTACCGTAAGGATATAGCTATAATGTTTCATGTTTCCAGCTATCATAAACCAGAGTGGCATTATTTGACCCTTGCTGTGACCTTAACCTTTGAATTATGGACAAGAAAGGGTTAAGTGAATGATATTGTCTAGACATAATACCTGTATCAAAGTTTTTCCTGAACAAGCATTTTAAAGATCTGACCTTTTACCTTGCTCTGATCTTGACCTTAAAGTACAAGCATGAGAGTGGTATGCAGCACACTACCACCTCCTGATACAGGTACAGCTCTAGACATTCTACATATGACTTCTCATGACTACCCCGAACTTGACAGTTTCTCATGACTACCCCACCCCGACCTTGACGGTTTCTCATGACTACCCCGACCTTGACAGTTTCTCATGACTATCCCGACCTTGACAGTTTCTCATGACTACCCCGACCTTGACGGTTTCTCATGACTACCCTGACCTTGACGGTTTCTCATGACTACCCCGACCTTGACAGTTCTGACCTAAGAGTTGTGTGTGTCAGTACAGTTCAATTCGACCTTTACCTAGTGATGGAAAGAAGATAGACAGACATTGTGTAACCCTAGTCACTTCACACCTGACCAGTATACCTACCTATGGAAGTAACTTGTTATGATTCCCTGACAGCTGACAAAGTCTTTGGCCCATTTTTCTAGCCTCTCTGCTAATTCCAGCTGCTGCTCTGTCAACATGGTGGACACGTTTAGGAAATGCTTCTCCAGTCGGTTGATGAGAGGGATGGGGAACTTGTCATACACAACTTGTTTCTCAGCAACCACTATCAGTCTACAAATTAGAATCATTAGCTTATAAACTAATCAACACAGGAAATCATCAAATAGGGTAACAAATGTTTTGTAGTTTGAATTTAAGTAACAATAATTTTCGTGCTTAGGTGTAAACTTTTACTGAGAACTTGTGGTTTCATCACTGCCAAGTGTTTATGTTAACCTTATTGGTTGAACATTGTTTACATTTTTCACTTGTGCTTGACATTTAAAATCAATACAAAAATATTTATCCCACTCATAAAAACAACTAATGTTCATCAAGAAACCAAGAACATCCTCTATGTATTTGACTTATAAGACAACTTAATCCAAAATGTAAGCACTTAAGCTGTTTCATCCAACAAACATGCAATTTTTTTTTTCTTACCATAATTATTAATATAAAAAATGATTGCACTTTCAGAGAATTTTGTCCAAGTGTGACACCGCAAAATATGAGGCCCAGTGGACCTTAAAGCTCACATGAATTACATTGATTAAGATTCATAACTACATTGTACTAGAGTTTTTGAGAAGCAGTGAAAAAATCTCCGAACTGAAAGGCCAGGGTGGCTATGTTGGATTTTAGGATATTGACAAAACATTTTTTAAACACTTATTAGCTAAAGAACCGCTTTACAATATTTTGGCCTTGACAGTCACCTGAGATGTAAAAAAGCTTCTATTTGTTGTTGTTATGTATAAAAAAAATACAATACACCCCAGAACGAAATTCACATTTTTGATATAGCACCTTAGACCTTTCTATCAATAAAAGTATTTGATTCCAGCATATATATCTGGGCCTGAGAAGAAAGGGTGTTGATTTTTTTGCCAATTTGACCCCTTTTCGGGGAAAGATAAAAAAATATATGATAATTTGACTGTGAAAAATATTTCCAATTAACTTCTGGCTACTATCCAAAAATATAATCCATATAGCTCACAATTTTGGCTGGCCTTTGATTATGGAACATTCCTCCAAAATTTTATTGAAATTGGTTCTGTGGTTTTGGAGAAAAAGTCAATAATGTAAAAAATGCATGCACAATGCATGATGACGGACAAAGACGGATGGCAATAGCTCGCATGAGCAATCATATGAGCTAGAACTGCCTCAGAAAAATTGTAGCTCTGGTTTTCACTCAGTGGTTCTATCACAAACAACTCACCTGAAGTCTTTATGGACCCTGCACTTTACTCTGTGTGTCCCCAGTCCCAAGTCCACATATCGCTCACCCCCAAACTCCACGTAATACTGAAAAATATACAAAATATGATTTCAATGACAGCAAATATGCGCCTGAAGCAATAAAGATTAAACTGTTATTAAATTAGAAACAATCTGTTCTTGTGTTTTCATCATCATTACATGTAGTTATATTGGAAAAGGCAAAATATATTATTCAATGATTTTTTTGATTTTTTGTTTGGTGTTATACATCCTCGAAACAACCACCGTCATATGCAAGTAATGCACGTGCAACATTTTCATCAGAACATTGTAAGAAGGAGTAAGGGTTGGGTCTAGGAAACTGTTGTACACACGGACAGGAGTAACACAGTGTGTCCTTGGCATTTTCATGTGACGACTAGAGATAGGCCTACTATTGACTGTTAATTCCATAATTGATGTAATCGGTAATAATTACTTAACTCAGATTTCAAATATATACAATGTACAGTAATTGACAAATGCAATTTATTTTCTTGATTTTTTCATATAATTGATGTTAATGTCGCTAAAAACAGCTTGTGACTGTTTTAAAGTTGGTTGTAAAAGAAAGATACCTAATCTACAGTCAACGACTCTGTCTGTTCATGATACAGTAGTGATGTCACTCTATTTTGGTATTCAGTCCCATATAATTATAAACTGATTATTCCTAGTATTACAAATCGATTATCAATTATGATTTAAAACCCATTGCCCATCACTAATGACAGCAGAAATATGGAAAATTAGAAAAATGAAATGTGTATAGATGTTCTTGAGAATACCCCATCTCACCGATCACAACATCAGTATTTGTTAAAGGACAAAGTTATACTGCAGGAGTGTTTTTGGTTTGGTTTTATAAAATGTACCCCCCTCCCTGCACCAAAAGTACGACTAAGCCAACTAGAGCTGTCGCCAGAATGGCAGAATTATACCCCCTGCCTACTCCAAGAACTGCAGGAATAGTTCTTTGAGAACATGTTTAAACAAGATTTCAGCAACATCATTCTGAAGTTCCTCCTTTTAACAAATGTTTGATTACTGACAATATGCTGTTGAAGTTGAATGCGCTTCTCCTACAGTTAATGTGACTTAAGCAAACTTTCCCTATGCACAAGAAGATTACAACATTAATTGATAATGCTTCTCCAACATTCAATGTGACTTCAGTGCACTTTCCCCTATGCTTGAGATGTTTATTTGATATCCCCGGACAAACTTTTTCAAAGGTTGAGGTCAAAGTTCAATTAAAGCATAGGTCACAGTGACCTGCTTTTTTGACTTGACACTCCGTCAACCAGATCCCAAGTTTTGACCCAGGGATCAAGTCCCTAAGGGCGGGGCCACCTCAAGGCTGATTCTGGCGGTATGATTGTGTTTGTATCTCGATGACCTGCATTTATAAATACGAGTTTTCAAGGGTAAGGCCTGACCCTTGAGCCATTTTAGAAGCATTTTTTTTTATATATATATATATTCTTAATTACATTCATGGTTATAGGGAGGAGAACTAAGCTAATTCCAAGTTGTGACTCAGAAACTAATTCCCTAAGGGTGTGGCCAGACCCCAAGGCTGATTCTAATGTCATAATTGGTTTCATCTCTTTATGCCCAGCAATGGTATACATAGTTATGGTGTGGGAATCTCAAACCTTTATGTTATGAGCCAGGGACTATAAAGACTCTTGTAAAATAAAGTATTTATTGTGTATGAGGTGTACCAACTGATGTCATGTCCTTAAGGCTCCCATGGTACACCAGGTATGTAATATATACGAGGTGTACCTACAGGTGGAGAGTCGTAAAGACTCTCATAAAGGTAAACCAGGTATGTAATATATATGAGGTGTACCTACAGGTGGAGAGTCGTAAAGACTCTCATAAAGGTACACCAGGTATGTAATATATACGAGGTGTACCTACAGGTGGAGAGTCATAAATACTCTCACTAATATATACGAGGTGTACCTACAGGTGGAGAGTCATAAAGACTCTCATAAAGGTACACCAGGTATGTAATATATACGAGGTATACCTACAGGTGGAGAGTCGTTAAGAATCCTGTAAAGTTCACCAGGTATTTGGTATATAAGAGGAGTACCTACCTGGTTGAGAGCGTCGTACAGACTCTCGTAAAGGTTTTCCAGGTTAAGTAGGACCACCGTGTTGCCTGTCTCCATACACACCTTGATGCGATTGATGTTCCTACACACCTAGAAATATCACAATAACATGATGTTAAAAACGTTATGATTTCAACTTTTTCAGAATATGACACTAAATTTTCAGGATTTTTTTATGGGTAAAATATGTTTGAGTTTAAAATGATCAAGTCACTTAATCTAGAGAATAGTTCTTACCTGTGTATATTCCTGGTCACTAGGGAAGCTGCTACCAAATATGGTAATGGCTTTCTGTTTCTTTAAGATTTCCTGCTGTAGAATTGTCAGAGCTCCATAGTTTTCAGTCAACAGCAGCAGGTATCGACTTTCACTGTCAATCAATCACATTTACATTAGTTAATAGGTAGTAAGTTACTGTTGATCAATCACATTTACACTAGTTAATAGGTAGTAATTCACTGTCAATCAATCATATTTACACTAGTTAATAGGTAGTAAGCCACTGTCAATCAATCATATTTACACTAGTTAATAGGTAGTAAGTCACTGTCGATCAATCACATTTACATTAGTTAATAGGTAGTAAGTCACTGTTGATCAATCACATTTACACTAGTTAATAGGTAGTAAGTCACTGTCAACCAATCACATTTACACTAGTGAATAGGTAGTAAGTCACTGCCAATCTATCACATTTACATTAGTTAATTGGTAGTAAGTCACTGTTGATCAATCACATTTACATTAGTAAATAGGTAGTAAGTCACTGCCAATCTATCACATTTACATTCGTTAATATGTAGTAAGTCACTGTCATTCAATCACATTTACACTAGTGAATAGGTAGTAACTCACTGTCAATGAATCACATTTACATTAGTAAATAGGTAGTAAGTCACTGCCAATCTATCACATTTACATTCGTTAATATGTAGTAAGTCACTGTCACTCAATCACATTTACACTAGTGAATAGGTAGTAAGTCACTGTCGATAAATCACATTTACATTAGTTAACAGGTAGTAAGTCACTGTCACTCAATCACATTTACACTAGTGAATAGGTAGTAAGTCACTGCCAATCTATCACATTTACATTAGTAAATAGGTAGTAAGTCACTGCCAATCTATCACATTTACATTCGTTAATATGTAGTAAGTCACTGTCATTCAATCACATTTACACTAGTTAGTAGGTAGTAAGTCACTGCCAATCTATCACATTTACATTAGTAAATAGGTAGTAAGTCACTGCCAATCTATCACATTTACATTAGTAAATAGGTAGTAAGTCACTGCCAATCTATCACATTTACATTAGTTAACAGGTAGTAAGTCACTGTTAATCAATCACATTTACAGTAGTTAATAGGTAGTAAGTCAATCAATCACATTTACATTAGTTAATAGGTAGTAAGTCACTGTCAATCAATCACATTTATATTAGTTAATAGGTAGTAAGTCAATCAATCACATTTACACTAGTTAATAGGTAGTAAGTCACTGTCAATCAATCACATTTACATTAGTTAATAGGTAGTAAGTCACTGTCAATCAATCACATTTACATTAGTTAATAGGTAGTAAGTCACTGTCAATCTATCACATTTACATTAGTTAATAGGTAGTAAGTCACTGTCAATCAATCACATTTACATTAGTTAATAGGTAGTAAGTCACTGTCAATCAATCACATTTACATTAGTTAATAGGTAGTAAGTCACTGTCAATCAATCACATTTACATTAGTTAATAGGTAGTAAGTCACTGTCAATCAATCACATTTACATTAGTTAATAGGTAGTAAGTCACTGTCAATCAATCACATTTACATTAGTTAATAGGTAGTAAGTCACTGTCAATCAATCACATTTACATTAGTTAATAGGTAGTAAGTCACTGTCAATCAATCACATTTACATTAGTTAATAGGTAGTAAGTCACTGTCAATCAATCACATTTACATTAGTTAATAGGTAGTAAGTCACTGTCAATCAATCACATTTACATTAGTTAATAGGTAGTAAGTCACTGTCAATCAATCACATTTACATTAGTTAATAGGTAGTAAGTCACTGTCAATCAATCACATTTACATTAGTTAATAGGTAGTAAGTCACTGTCAATCAATCACATTTACATTAGTTAACTGTAAATGACTCGGACAAAAAGATCAGAAAAATTACATAAGTTAAGAGGTAGTAAGACACTGTCAAACAAGAAATTTTCCAAGACTCTGAACTTAAAATTTACATATATAAGTGTAACAAATGGTCAAATAAATTACAGCAGAAAATCGGAGTGTAAGGTATTTACCTGTCAATGCCTGCTAGGTAGACATTGATCAGACCACACCTGAAGTGTAGGGTATTTACCTGTCTTTACCTGTCAGGCAACTCTGGATCAGACCACACCTGAAGTGTAAGGTATTTACCTGTCCTTATACGTCAGATAGACCTGGATCAGACCACACCTGAAGTGTAGGGTGTTTACATGTCCTTATATGTCAGACAGACCTCGATCAGACCACACCTTATTTATATGTCCTTACATGTCAGACAGACCTTGATCAGACCACGCCTGCGGATTGTATTTACCTGTCTATTGTGTAACCTGTCAGACAGATCTGGATCAGACCACACCTGAAGTGTAAGGTATTTACCTATCCTTACCTGTCAGACAGACCTGGATCAGACCACACCTGAAGTGTAAGGAATTTACCTGTCCTTATATGTCAGATAGACCTGGATCAGACTACACCTGAAGTGTAAGGTATTTACCTGTCCTTATATGTCACACAGACCTGGATCAGACCACACCTGTAATGTAAGGTATTTACATGTCCTTATATGTCACACAGACCTCGATCAGACCACGCCTGGAGATTGTATAAACCTGTCTATTGTGTCACCTGTCAGACAGGCCTGGATCAGACCACACCTTAGGACTGTATTTACCTGTTTATTGTGTCACCTGTCAGACAGACCTGGATCAGACCACACCTGAAGTGTAAGGTATTAACCTGTCCTTATATGTCACACAGACCTGGATCAGACCACACCTGTAATGTAAGGTATTTACATGTCCTTATATGTCACACAGACCTGGATCAGACCACACCTGAAGTGTAAGGTATTTACCTGTCCTTATATGTCACACAGACCTCCATCAGACCACGCCTGGAGATTGTATTTACCTGTCTATTGTGTCACCTGTCAGACAGGCCTGGATCAGACCATACCTGAAGTGTAAGGTATTTACCTGTCCTTACATGTCAGACAGACCTCGATCAGACCACACCTTAGGATTGTATTTACCTGTCTATTGTGTCACCTGTCAGACAGGCCTGGATCAGACCACACCTGAAGTGTAAGGTATTTACCTGTCCTTACATGTCAGACAGACCTCGATCAGACCACACCTTAGGATTGTATTTACCTGTCTATTGTGTCACCTGTCAGACAGGCCTGGATCAGACCACACCTGAAGTGTAAGGTATTTACCTGTCCTTACATGTCAGACAGACCTCGATCAGACCACACCTTAGGATTGTATTTACCTGTCTATTGTGTCACCTGTCAGACAGGCCTGGATCAGACCACACCTGAAGTGTAAGGTATTTACCTGTCCTTACATGTCAGACAGACCTCGATCAGACCACACCTTAGGATTGTATTTACCTGTCTATTGTGTCACCTGTAAGACAGACCTGGATCAGACCACACCTTAGGATTGTATTTACCTGTCTATTGTGTCACCTGTCAGACAGACCTCGATAAGACCACACCTTAGGACTGTATTTACCTGTCTATTGTGTCACCTGTAAGACAGGCCTGGATCAGACCAGCTGGTGAACAGTCAGGGTCAGAATTATTTCTCTGTAACCACACAAATACATTGATTGATATTAGAAGCAGTGTATTACACAATGAAATGAATCTGATGAACATGTACTTAAAATAGATTATTATTGTGGATCCAAATTTGCAATAATATTGTAATATTATATGACAAATACTAAACTTGTGATTGCAGTCATTTAACATCAACACAATATATAGTTTGTTTCTTTTTCAGATTAATCTAAATTGTACACAATAATCATATTCTATGCATACTTTTTGTTTCTTAATTAAGGTTTAAACAGTACACTTGTGTAACAAAATCCCCTATAAACACTGATTTTATATGAACTGTATGATTTAATTACTAACCTTTTCTGTGATGTTGACAGTTAGAACCTGCTGAAACACACTAACAGGGTCGATATCATCCATTCCTCCAAAGTTACGCATGATGGCATGCTGCATCTGGTGCCATGTTGGTCTTCTCTTCTTCTGGTCAGCAAAGGCGTACACCATTTTCAACAAACTGAAGGGAAAAAAATGAAAAAAAAAATTGATCACTCTCATCAGCTTGTTGATATTTGTGAAGAACTTCTTTGATTTTTGTTTTTTAATATATTTGAAGACCTGGAATTGAGGTTGAGGTCATTTTTTTGCTCTCTATGTAGGGTCTTCATTAAAAAACATCTGAGCTTTTTTTTTTTGGTTCTTCAGAAGAGCTTGTTTAAGAACAATGGGCCTAAGGGGCCTGAATACTCTCTTCTGTTATGTGTTCTTTTTCAAACTTTATAGCACTCCATGCTAGCTAGTTACCGAGTGTCATTATTCTTCATCTCTTGAAAATCATTTGAGCATTGTGACAAATTTGACCCCTATGACCTTCAATAAATGTCATGGCCATTATTTCACAAACTTTGTTCATTTTTATGTATCTCTCCATGCCAGCAAGCTATAGGTCAAAAATCATGATCTTAGACCTTTCAGATATTCAATAGCATACAAAAGTAGTTTCATTGCCACAACTAGTACTGTTGGTCTAAAATTGTGACATAAATGTCCACTAAATATTCATAATATCTTGATAACAGGATAACAAGCTGTTCTTTATGCCATAATGACCTGCCACACTTCAAACTATGGTATACAGCATAATACTGAAAATGTGAAGTGATTTAGATCTTGTATGAAATATTCAATTGTATATAACGTTGTGTAGAAATATCTTCTGTAATTATGCTTACCTGTAAAAGTCTCTCAGTCCAAAAAACTCCCTCATTTTCAAGGCACTTTCAAAGAGCTCTAAATAGGCTTTGGCCATTTGAGGAATAAGTGGCTTGATCAGTTTGTAAACATTTCTGTTAGTTTGGCAAATTCCTCTGTGAATGGAACAATCAAGTGTTAATGATGAATAAAGACGTTACAGGAAAGTTTAGGTCACATTAAAAAACTTCTTGAAAATGGTTCAGATGTGTGGTTTCATAAGCCTGTTTCAGAAAATCCCTGATATCAATTCATACGTAAAAGTTCTTGAATATAAATAACAATGTAACATACATTACGATTATAATCATCCACTGGAACTAAAAAGAACTAAAACAAAATTATATTGACTCTTACTTAGCACTGAGGGTGAGCTCCTCCAGTTCAGGAACTTCCCTCTGAACTAAAATTCCTCTGTTCATCTTGGCTGGATCCAGGGCCCAGTTGGAGATACCAATGAATGCTACCTGTATAAGGAAATACCATCAATATTTGTTTATATATCTATTGATAGAAGGAATTCAGTCAAAAATGTGTTTATCAATATCATCTATTATCACAGTTTATACTACTATTACACTAAACATTGTCTTTTTTGTCTTTTTTTAAAAGCTACAAACAGGAGGATTTAGAACAGCAACCCACCTTCTTAAAAGGCTCTGGTTTCTCATCCCCTTCACAGCCGTCCTCCAGGAGTGGATGTAACGTCTGCAGTAATAAACAATATTATGACAATTATGCAGTGATCAAGAGGACAACTCTATAAACAGTGATTTACAGGATCAACACTTACATGATCAGGCTCAATGGCTGGTAATGTTCATCAACAGAATTTTAATATTTGGTCTTTATACTGACCCAAATTAAAACAAAGTTACTCAGAACTGTGAGAGATGTGGATTCCAAACTTATTCCAATTTTGATTCAAATAAATATTCAACTTTTGTTCATTTAAGAATCATTGATTAACTATATAATATTTTGCAGAAATACATTCTCCCTGACAAATAGATTTGTTACCTTGAGGGGCATACGTGGTGAGTCCTCTGCTAGGCCGACCTCGTCCAGGACAACAACGGACACAAACCTGCTCAGGTCCTTATCTCTCTGGAACTGGGCACACTGTCGGAACATTCCAGAAATACCATCGGGGGTAGACAGCGGACTGCACTGATATGACATCATTTGGACCTGGTAGCAAAGTATCGATAAATATAATTTGTTTTCCTTCACTTATACCCAAAACAAATATTATCAACTGTTTCATGGATGTCCTGCATCGACACCAAATATCTTGTAAAGAAACCCTATCATTACTGATAGAACTGATAAAGCCAGGTTTGGTTAAAATCCAGGCATAGCACGATGAATCTATGTAGAGAAACTGTGAGTGAGCTCACAAAACCAAACCCACCACTTGCGCTTACTCTGGAGCAGAAATTAAAGTTTGAAGGCAAAAATGTGTCTAACGAAAGTGTTATGCAAGACACATATCATCGTCATATTTTAAAAATAAACTTTTCCGTCACCGACTGAAATGTTGACAGTTCCCCACAGTATCAATCAATACAATTCTTGTACAAATAAATATTTTTATAAATTAAGAAGAAGAGAAATAATAAAATAAAAAACTTGCCTCCTTGTAGCCACGGAAGAGGTCTGTGTGCGCTGCATGTCCTTGCATGGCATTACCCACGACAGTTTTCGCCAGTGATTTAGAACTCCCCGGTTTGCCGACCAGGAACAATGGTATCCTCAGTTCTATACAAGTCACCATCATGAACACGTTTTCCTTCAGTGCTTGATTGTGTGCTATATTCTTTCCAAGCTCTACATTTGTTAAAAATGCATCTTGACATCTTTCTATTTCTTCCAACATTTGCTGAGCCGGGTCGGCACCTGGTATTTGGCATGGAGGAGTAAAGAGGGGTGCAACAGCCTTCCTGTATTCCTCCCTTTTTTTCAGACAGGCATGGTAACATACTCCTAAAGCCAACAGCAATGACCTTGCTATGTCACTGATATCCTACAAAGACATTTGACATCAAACTCTAATACACTCTCTTCTACCTCTAGCACGGGAACTGCTTCGATTTTATTACATTACATTTCTGGTACATTTTTTATTTTCTGTTTTACAAAATTCAAAATGTAATTATATGAAATTACTTCCCTTACTTCTAACTTCAAGCTAAGCAGGTTCTTATTTCTACAATATATATTTCTATAACATACCTGCGATTGGTTTTGTTCATCATCTTCCATCTCATCTTCATCTGAATTTTCTTCTGAGCTCTCATTTAACAAGTCAAACAGGGCAGAGTCTCCCTGACTCTGGTTGTAAAACCAGCTCATCACTTCAAGTACCCTCTCCACGTCTCGTAAGCTTACAAAGCTACACTCATCCTGAAACACAGTGACAAACAGCCTTACTGACACTAGACATCACCTCTAGTCCCCTCCCGTCATCTCAAACCTACACTCGTCCTGAAACACAGTGACAAACAGCCGTACTGACACTAGACATGTACTCTAGTCCCCTCCCCTCATCTCAAACTCACAAACTTACACTCATCCTGAAACACAGTGACAAACACAGTCTTACTGACACTAGACATGTACTCTAGTCCCCTCCCCTCATCTCAAACTCACAAACTTACACTCATCCTGAAACACAGTGACAAACAGCCTTACTGACACTAGACATGTACTCTAGTCCCCTTCCCCTCATCTCAAACTCACAAACCTACACTCACCCTGAAACACAGTGACAAACACAGCCGTACTGACACTAGACATAACCTCTAGTCCCCTTCCCTCATCTCAAACCTACCCTCGTCCTGAAACACAGTGACAAACACACAGCCTTACTGATACTAGACATCAACTCTAGTCCCCTTCCCCTCATCTCAAACTCACGAACCTACACTCATCCTGAAACACAGTGACAAACACACAGCCTTACTGATACTAGACATCAACTCTAGTCCCCTTCCCCTCATCTCAAACTCACAAACCTACTCTCATCCTGAAACACAGTGACAAACAGCCTTACTGACACTAGACATGTACTCTAGTCCCCTCCCGTCATCTCAAACCTACACTCGTCCTGAAACACAGTGACAAACTCACAGCCTTACTGACACTAGACATCAACTCTAGTCCCCTTCCCTCATCTCAAACTCACAAACCTACACTCGTCCTGAAACACAGTGACAAACACACAGCCTTACTGACACTATACATCAACTCGAGTCCCCTTCCCTCATCTCAAACCTACACTCGTCCTGAAACACAGGGACAAACACACAGCCTTACTGATACTAGACATCAACTCTAGTCCCCCTGTTCCTCATCTCAAACCTACCCTCGTCCTGAAACACAGTGACAAACCCAGCCATACTGACACTAGACATCACCTCTAGTCCCTTCACCTAATATCAAACTCACAAACCTACACCCATCCTGAAACACAGTGACAAACCCAGCCATACTGACACTAGACATCAATTCTAGTCCCCTTCCCTCATCTCAAACCTACACTCGTCCTGAATCACAGTGACAAACACACAGCCTTACTGACACTATACATCAACTCTAGTCCCCTTCCCTCATCTCAAACCTACACTCGTCCTGAATCACAGTGACAAACACACAGCCTTACTGACACTAGATCTAGACATCACCTCTAGTCCCCTCCCCTCATCTCAAACTCACAAACCTACACTCATCCTGAAACACAGTGACAAACACACAGCCTTACTGACACTAGATCTAGACATCACCTCTAGTCCCCTCCCCTCATCTCAAACTCACAAACCTACACTCATCCTGAAACACAGGGACAAACACAGCCGTACTGACACTAGACATCACCTCTAGTCCCCTTCCCTCATCTCAAACTCACAAAGCTACACTCATTCTGAAACACAGTGACAAACACACAGCCTTACTGACACAAGACATCAACTCTAGTCCCCTTCCCTCATCTCAATCCTACACTCGTCCTGAAACACAGTGACAAACACACAGCCTTACTGACACTAGACATCAACTCTAATCCCCTTCCCTCATCTCAAACTAACAAACCTACACTCGTCCTGAAACACAATGACAAACACACAGCCTTACTGACACTAGACATCTCTTCTCGTTCCCTCCCCTCATCTCAAACTCACAAACCTACCCTCATCCTGAAACACAGTGACAAACACACAGCCTTACCGACACTAGACATCAACTCTAATCCCCTTCCCTCATCTCAAACTCACAAACCTACACTCATCCTGAAACACAGTGACAAACACAGAGCCTTACTGACACTAGACATCAACTCTAGTCCCCTCCCCTCTTCTCAAACTCACAAACCTACACTCGTCCTGAAACACAGTGACAACAACAGTCTTACTGACACTAGACATCACTTCTCGTTCCCTCCCCTCATCTCAAACTCACAAACCTCCACTCGTCCTGAAACACAATGACAAACACACATCCTTACTGACACTAGACATCACCTCTAGTCCCTTCACCTAATCTCAAACTCACAAACCTACCCTCATCTCAAACTCACAAACTTACACTCATCCTGAAACACAGTTACAAACACACAGCCTTACTGACGCTAGACATCACTTCTAGTTCCCTAGAGCCTTACTGACACTAGACATAAACTCTAGTCCCCTCCCCTCTTCTCAAACCCACAAACCTACACTCCTCCTGAAACATAGTGACAAACACACAGCCTTACAGAGACTAGACATCAACTCTAGTTAGTCCCCTTCCCTCATCTCAACCTCACAAACCTACACTCGTCCAGAAACACAGTGACAAACACACAACCTTACTGACACTAGACATCACCTCTAGTGCCCTCGCCTCATCCTGGTTGTAAAACCAGCTCATCACTTCAAGTACCCTCTCCACGTCTCGTAAGCTTACAAAGCTACACTCATCCTGAAACACAATGACAAACACACAGACTTACTGACACTAGACATCACCTCTAGTCCTCTCGCCTCATCTCAAACTCTCAAACAAACCAGCTCATCACTTCAAGTACCCTCTCCACGTCTCGTAAGCTTACAAAGCTACACTCATCCTGAAACACAGCACGTCTCGTAAGCTTACAAAGCTACACTCATCCTGAAACACAATGACAAACCCACAGCCTTACTGACACTAGACAGCACTTCTAGTTCCCTCCCCTCATCTAAAACGCACAAACCTACACTCGTCCTGAAACAGAATGACAAACACACAGCCTTAGTGACACTAGACATCACTTCTAGTCCCCTTCCCTCATCTCAAACCTACACTCATCCTGAAACACAATGACAAACCCACAGCCTTACTGACACTAGATCTAGACATCACCTCTAGTCCCCACCCCTCATCTTAATCTCACAAACCTACACTCGCCCTGAAACACAATGACAAACACAGCCGTACTGACTCCCCTCATCTCAAACTCACATTCGTCCTGAAACACAGTGACAAACACAGACGTACTGACACTAGACATCAACTCTAATCCCCTTCCCTCATCTCAAACTTACACTCCTCCTGTAACACAGTGACAAACACACAGCCTTACAGAGACTAGACATCAACTCTAGTTAGTCCCCTTCCCTCATCTCAACCTCACAAACCTACACTCGTCCCGAAACACAATGACAAACACACAACGTTACTGACACTAGACATCAACTCTAATCCCCTTCCCTCATCTCAAACCTACACTCATCCTGAAACACAGTGACAGACACACAGCCTTACTGACACTAGACATCACCTCTAGTCCCCTTCCCGCATCTCAAACCTACATTCGTCCTGAAACACAGTGACAAACACACAGCCTTACTGAGACTAGACATCAACTCTAGTCCCCTTCCCTCATCTCAAACTCACAAACCTACACTCGTCCTGAAACATAGTGACAAACACACAGCCTTACTGACACTAGACATCACCTCTAGTACCCACCCCTCATCTTAATCTCACAAACCTACACTCGCCCTGAAACACAGTGACAAACCCAGCCGTACTGACACTAGACATCCCCTCTAGTCCCCTTCCCTCATCTCAAACCTACACTCGCCCTGAAACACAGTGACAAACACAGCCTTACTGACACTAGACATCACCTCTAGTCCCCACCCCTCATCTTAATCTCACAAACCTACACTCGCCCTGAAACACAGTGACAAACACAGCCGTACCGACACTAGACATCAACTCCAGTCCCCTCCCCTCATCTCAAACTCACAAGCCTACACTCGTCCTGAAACACAGTGACAAACGCACAGCCTTACTGCCACCAGACATCACTTCTAGTCCCCTCCCCTCATCTCAAACCTACACTCGTCCTGCCACATACTGACACTAGACATCACCTCTAGTCCCCTTCCCTCATCTCAAACCTACACTCGTCCTGAAACACTGACAAACACACAGCCTTACTGACACTAGACATCACTTCTAGTCCCCTCCCCTCATCTCAAACCTACACTCGTCCTGAAACATACTGACACTAGACATCACCTCTAGTCCCCTCCCCTCATCTCAAACTCATCTCCACTCATTCTGAAACACAATGACAAACACAGCCGTACTGACACGAGACATCACCTATAGTGCCCTCCCCTCATCTTAAACTCACAACCTACTCATCCTGAAACAGTGACAAAGACACAGCCTTACTGACACTAGACATCACCTCTAGTCCCCTCCCCTCATCTCAAACTCGCAACCTACGTCACTCATCCTGAAACACAGTGACAAACACAGCCTTACTGACACTAGACATCACCTCTAGTCCCCTCCTCTCATTTCAAACTCACAAACCTACACTCATCCTGAAACACAGTGACAAACACAGCCGTACTGACACTAGACATCACCTCTAGTCCCCTCCTCTCATTTCAAACTCACAAACCTACACTCATCCTGAAACACAGTGACAAACACAGCCTTACTGACACTAGACATCACCTCTAGTCCCCTCGCCTCATCTCAAACTCTCAAACCTACACTCATCCTGAAACACAGTGACAAACACACAGCCTTACTGACACTAGATCTAGACATCACCTCTAGTCCCCTCCCCTCATCTCAAACTCACAACCTACACTCATCCTGAAACACAGTGACAAACACAGCCTTACTGACACTAGACATGTACTCTAGTGCCCTCCCCTCATCTCAAACTCACAAACCTACACTTATCCTGAAACACAGTGACAAACACACAGCCTTACTGACACTAGACATCACTTCTAGTTCCCTCCCCTCATCTCAAACTCACAAACCTACACTCATCCTGAAACACAGTGACAAACACACAGCCTTACTGACACTAGACATCACCTCTAGTCCCCTCCCCTCATCTCAAACTCACAAACCTACACTCGTCCTGAAACACAGTGACAAACACAGCCTTACAGACACTAGACATCACCTTTAGTTCCCTCTCCTCATCTCAAACTCACAAACCTACACTCATCCTGAAACACAGTGACAAACGCAGCCTTACTGACACTAGACATCACCTTTAGTCCCCTCCCCTCATCTCAAACTCACAAACCTACACTCATCCTGAAACACAGTGACAAACGCAGCCTTACTGACACTAGACATCACCTTTAGTTCCCTCCCTTTATCTCAAACCTACAATGGCAAACACAACCTTATTAATGACACTATCGATATCACCTCTAGTCCCATCACCTAATCTCAAACTCACAAACTTACACTCATTTTTAAACACTGTGACAAACACAGTCTTTCTTTTCAGGTACGGCTGGATGAATTGGTTGAACCAGATACTTGAAAGTACGGTACTTGCCCCATGTCTCACAATCTATATTGACATTCGTCACAGAAATGCATTTTGTAGTCTCACAAATACACAAAAGGAGAAAATAAAATGTTCAGATTAAAACCATACCCAACTAATTCAGTGACATACCTTCTGCTTCCTCATGAATTCTTGTGAAGCTGTCAGTATTACGCTGACAACATTTTCCAGGTTGTCAATGCGAGGAAGCTTGTCAGCACGGATCTGAAAACAAATTATCAAACAAATTGAACATTAAAGGAGAAGATGTTCTTCACGAAAATCTTTTTTTATTTAAATACTCTAGATGGACTTCCTTTTACTGAACAAATATGTCCTACATTATACATGAATTATTGGAGTATACAATGTAACATACAATAAATCAGCAATGAGATTACACAAATCTGAGTGAGAGTTGAGCACATACATATCGTAGCACCATCTGCCTGATGTAGAGTTCCTCTATCCGTGTGTCCAGCTGTCCAAAGTCCCAGACCAGGGGCAGTAGACTCTGGGGTAGGGGCTGGACACGGTAAACAAGGCGCCGCAGTGGTACACGGCCTACAATGTACATACAAAAGAAAATAACACCTGTACTCTGGGGTAGGGCTGGAGACGGTAAAGAAGGTGCCTTAGTGGTACACAGCCTACAATATACATACAATAGGGGATAACACCTGTACTCTGGGGTAGGGGCTGGACACTGTAAACAGGGGGCCACAGTGGTACACGGCCTACAATATACAAACAATAGGAGATAACACCTGTACTCTGGGGTAGGGGCTGGACACTGTAAACAGGGCGCCGCAGTGGTACACGGCCTACAATATACAAACAATAGGAGGTAACACCTGTACTCTGGGGTTGGGGCTGGACACTGTAAACAGGGGGCAACAGTGGTACACAGCCCACAATATACAAACAATAGGAGATAACACCTGTACTCTGGGATAGGGGCTGGACACTGTAAACAGGGGGCCACAGTGGTAGACGGCCTACAATATACATACAATAGGAGATAACACCTGTAGTCTGGGGTAGGGGCTGGACACTGCAAACAGGGGGCCGCAGTGGTAAACGGCCTACAATGTACATACAATAGGGAATAACACCTGGATATTATTACCTTCCAGGTCAAATGTATTTGTGCAGGCCAAACTGCAATGACCTCCTTGACCTGCATAGATTTGGTATACCAGAGGGAGTAATTTAGAATCTGGTTCATTTCCACTTAAAACAACATTGAAAATGTTTACAAGCCATTCGGATTGATGTCTCACCTGTGCCCCGCTTTGACCATCAATGCACATGTCAAGTTTGGTTGGTCTAGCACTGAACTTAAACGCAAAAACTTAATGTTGATGGAGATGCGGACAAAGTCAATAGACCATAAAAGGTGGCCGCATCCAGCATTTGATGCATGGGTTGAGAAGTTCTACCTAAAATACATCTATGGTGCTGCCATTGCCCTATCCGTGTGTCCAGCTGTCCAAAGTCCCAGACCAGGGGCAGTAGACTCTGGGGTAGGGGCTGGACTCTGTAAACAAGGCGCCGCAGTGGTACACGGCCTACAATGTACATACAATAGGGAATAACACCTGGATATTATTACCTTCCAGGTCAAATGTATTTGTGCAGGCCAAACTGCAATGACCTCCTTGACCTGCATAGATTTGGTATACCAGAGGGAGTAATTTAGAATCTGGTTCATTTCCACTTAAAACAACATTGAAAATGTTTACAAGCCATTCGGATTGATGTCTCACCTGTGCCCCGCTTTGACCATCAATGCACATGTCAAGTTTGGTTGGTCTAGCACTGAACTTAAACGCAAAAACTTAATGTTGATGGAGATGCTGACAAAGTCAATAGACCATGAAAGGTGGCCGCATCCAGCATTTGATGCATGGGTTGCGATGTTCTACCTAAAATACATCTATGGTGCTGCCATTGCCCTATCCGTGTGTCCAGCTGTCCAAAGTCCCAGACCAGGGGCAGTAGACTCTGGGGTAGGGGCTGGACTCTGTAAACAAGGCGCCGCAGTGGTACACGGCCTAAAACATACAAACATTAGGAGATAACACCTGTACTCATTACACAAATCTGAGTGAGAGGTGAGCACATACATATCGTAGCACCATCTGCCTGATGTAGCGTTCCTCTATCCGTGTGTCCAGCTGTCCAAAGTCCCAGACCAGGGGCAGTAGACTCTGGGGTAGGGGCTGGACTCTGTAAACAAGGCGCCGCAGTGGTACACGGCCTACAATATACAAACAATAGGAGATAACACCTGTACTCTGGGGTAGGGGCTGGACACGGTTAAACAAGGGGCCGCAGTGGTACACGGCCTACAATGTACATACAATAGGGAATAACACCTGGATATTATTACCTTCCAGGTCAAATGTATTTGTGCAGGCCAAACTGCAATGACCTCCTTGACCTGCATAGATTTGGTATACCAGAGGGAGTAATTTAGAATCTGGTTCATTTCCACTTAAAACAACATTGAAAATGTTTACAAGCCATTCGGATTGATGTCTCACCTGTGCCCCGCTTTGACCATCAATGCACATGTCAAGTTTGGTTGGTCTAGCACTGAACTTAAACGCAAAAACTTAATGTTGATGGAGATGCTGACAAAGTCAATAGACCATGAAAGGTGGCCGCATCCAGCATTTGATGCATGGGTTGAGATGTTCTACCTAAAATACATCTATGGTGCTGCCATTGCCAGAAAAGCAACACCTTATAGTCTCGCTTCTGCTACTTTGTGGCGGCGAGACAAAAATCACAAACATAATAGTATATCAAAAGGCAAATTAAAACAGTTCCAATGCTATTATTACTTGTTTTGATGACTTTAAAAAAGTGTACACACTGAAATGACCTGCAATAAGCAGACTTGAGCAGTATTTTGACCATCCATGACTGTCATTTCATTGCTGAGACCAGGGTAGATCTGCTAAATCATAACATTATTACATAACATATACGATATGGTTAAGGTCAGCTGATAGAAAGTTTTAACAGAAATGAGGATAATGTTTGTACCTTTACCAACTCTTTAATTCCACATGATTTTCTATAAACCTACCTAATGTGTCTGTTGTTTTTTCAGCATCAACATGGTATCCCAGACCTGCCTGCTCTAGGCGTTTTATCAGCTCATCAGAGTGCCTGACAAGGATTGAAATATCATTTTACAAAGCAGCATCTATTTTTACTATATCTCAACTTTTTATTTAATGAAATATAGACTGTTATCATCAACAAGAATTATGATTGAAAATTTGTGAAGATGATTAAATCATGATGCTCATTATTACTATTTGACACCTGACTGTGTTTCGTTTTCATAACCTCAGGATCCCAACTAAATTTGACAGATCTTTCACACGATGAGTGCAGGACATTCTATTAATGAAATATCCAATCAAAGCTCTAGTTGTTATCAAACGATGAATCACTTTTCAAACTTTTCTCCAAATCAGCTCTTTTGATAATTTGTTTGGGCCTTTTAGAAGAACAAAAAGCCCAACTTTAATTAACAGTAATCTGAATTCTCTGTGCCATTAATCTTTTAGGTTTCTGACACAATTCAGTGTTTAATGCAAGACCCAATTCAGTGTTTGACATAGGTAAAATAGCAAACAGACACAGACAGGTGCTTGATATGAAAATAGGACAAGAAAATTGTGTTTACTTTCTGTACGGGTTGCAGGCTGCAATGATCTTCAGACTGCGACACAGTTTCAGTTGATTGCCCCCGATGGTACGGTCACACATGATCTCCTTGATCAGACCAATGGCTTCTGTGGTGTTAGCTTCATCAAAGAACAGAACAGTTTGGATGTGTTGTCCATATGTGTCTGCATTTTCTCTGGCGATGTTTTCTGCTTCCTCCACTTTCTTTATGATATCCTTGGTTTTTGTTCCTCCATGGACCTACCATAGGTTTAAAATTCATTAAAGTACTTGCATTAAATCACAATTCGAACAAGCAAATATATCACTATATCAGACTTTGAAAAAAGTAAAAAGTATCACCACCAAAGTAATTCATCACCAATAAATCTTTGAAAAGTTTGTTTGGGGTTTTAATTAACTTTCTTACATCAGTGAAGGTCAAATAAAGACAGGTACCTAAGGAGACAACGACAAAAAGAAAGGTTGAGGAAGTAAGAAAAGCTATGGATTCGAAGTGTTGAAAAGGAATCAGCAGTACCCTAATGGCCTATCTATCATTTCCTATCAGTAAATAAATGGCAGACATTGTTATTTAGAGGAAACTGACACATTATCTTGTGCCAATGCTTGTTCTGCTGTTTTTTATCCTGGGAACTTTCAATGGCTGCAGATTGGGCCAAATCTCATCAGGACATAGGTGTGAAACAACTCAAAATACATACATTGGTACAGAAAAGACTGTTTGTGTATGAAATGTCACCAGAGTATCTATTTATATAGGTCACGCTTAGAGATAAATTTAACGGGCTAAATTTACATAATACCACCATTTATTCTCAACAGTTAACTAAATGGTGATAAGAGGCCATAGAGCCTTAATTACTCGTCCTTTTTCATCTATTTTATGTGTTTTTCACTTAGATGACAATTGTGACCTTGTGCGTTTGTCTAGGTAATTGATTTAAACAAATGAACTTGCCAACCTAGCAATCTACAAAACAAATGTCATGACTCTAGGCTTCATCTTTTGGAAGATGATGTCTTTAGAATTGATGGTATTTAAAGAAGATTCGTGTATTTTATTTCAAAATTGCATAGCCTTTTATACAACCAATTATGTGGCCAAATATCATGACAACAGACCTCACATTTATTTCAGGAAAAAACTTTATGCAAAACAGATACTGGATATTGCATGGTCACATAAGCTCAGAAACATTCAAGGCAAGTGAGCTAGAAATGACTTACCTTCATGAGGATCATGTTTTTGAGGTCCACCCCCGGGGGACACTGAAGCTCACACATAAACTTGACTAGACGAGTTTTACCACATCCAGTCTCCCCCATGATGATGACAGGGATATCACATCTGAAGAAATAAATAGAAATTTGAAAAAGATCCATGGAGTATTTTTTGAAAAATAGCCATAACAAGAATTGTTTAAGGACAGACAACTGACAAAAGGATGGTCGGGTGGAGCACAGTACACGAACGAATGAGTTAAAATGTGAAGGCAGTTAATGTACTTACTTGAACCTCATGTAGATGGCCATGATTTTCTTCACGTTGTCTGTGGTCAGTTCATATGTATCATCTGGATCATGAGGCATCTCCATTCCCATCACACTGCATAGTTTCAAAATCTTCTCATGTCTAAAGAAAGTGAAAGATGGAACTTCTCAACACAAGGCAAAATATGATAAAAAGAAATTCATTGATTTTTCAATTTCGTTTTTCCACCTAGCAATGTGTAAATTAATGTGACCAGTCATAAATTAAGTAACAAATTGTTTCATTGAAGTATGTGACCTTCTACCATATAAATAAAGGAGGGTAATACCATTTATATGTCAAAAGTATGACAGAATATCAATATTTTCACAAATATGAAGCAGTAATGAAAATATTGGTAAATTCTGTCATAGGAGTCTAGTGTCATCAACCTTGAAAACGTTGCATGCCGTTTTGAATGGGCTACTACTCAATGGAATCCTCTTTTTTCTGCATATATCTGGTAATGTTGTAAATTTTGTATCTCAGTGCAGTGAATAGGAAGAACCTTTTTGATTGGTCAATACCAGAAGTGATATCTTCACACTGTAACAAATATCACTTTTGATATCTGTCACATTGATTTTTTCATGTTCATAGAATACAAAATCTTTGTAGTAAAAAAGTAATAAGTAAAATTTTCCCTTTCTACTTTCTTAAATGTAGGAAATAATGACATTCTTTCCTATATTGTGGTAAAATTATGACCTTTTACACACAGTACAAAGCAGTAAAATATTAATCCAATAAGTTTTGGCATATCATATCATAAATTTAACAATAGTAGGAGACAGTGTATAACAGATGCCCCAGACTAAGGTGCATGGTGAACAAAGGCCAGAACTATGTATATATATTGAAGCAAGATACTTGCTTTTAGTATACAGCATTCCACCATCATAAGTCTCACATAAAAAGTAGCAATTTTAGAGACACAGTTTATGAAATAGTCTATTTGCTTCCGGAAGTACAAGTGAGGTATTTAAATTAATCAACAAAAAAGAGTCAATTTATCTGCTCTGACCTTTGCAGACCATCAAAGTTCTCATCAATGTTAACTTTGTTTCTGATGAGACTGTCCTGGAGTTCCCTTTGCATTATGTGCCGCTCCAGAACGGCCCCAGTTTGTTGGTCCAGCATGTCACCTGTTGTTCTCTGGATCTTGAACCCCACAAATGTCATTGAGTGATGATCAGGGTTAAAGAACAAATAGGGATGGGGGCTGTGAATGGAAGCAGAACAATATTTTCATTTGACCCATATAATACATAAAACATTCTTTAAAATCTAGGTTAAATAAAGATGGATGAAAGGAGAGAAGAAAAACCCATTCATTTAATTCCAATAACACAGAAAAATATTTCATTTAAAAGATTCAAGTTTCCTACAGGATAAAAATAGTCAAATTGATGTAAAGAAAAGTTTTGAGTTTTAAGAGAACAGCGGTACTTCCCAAAGGTATCTCTTCATTTATATCTACTTCAAATACAAACATGTAACATTAACAAAAGGCCCAGAAGACCTGTATCGCTCACCTGGATATCTAAGCAATCGTGGCAAAACATTCTCCAAATAAGATCCCATGTAATGGGCCAGACCCCAAGGCCAATCCCTGTAGCATATCTGTATTAGATTCTTCATGCCCAGCAACTTTATGTATGGTTCTGGGGTGGGGATCTCAACTGTTTCCAAGCTGTGACTCAGAAACTAGGAGTGTGGCCATACCCCAGAGTCAATTCTGATATCATGACTGCATTCGTCTCTTTATGCCCAGCATTTGTATATATAGTTTTGGGGTGTGGACCTCAACCATTTCAAAGTTGTGACTCAGAAACTAGGGCTGTAGGCCTAGGGGTGTGGCCAGACCCCAGGGTCAATTCTCATATCATGACTGCATTCGTCTCTTTATGCCCAGCATTTGTATCTATAGTTTTGGGGTGTGGACCTCAACCATTTCAAAGTTGTGACTCAGAAACTAGGGCTGTAGGCCTAGGGGTGTGGCCAGACCCCAGGGTCAATTCTCATATCATGACTGCATTCGTCTCTTTATGCCCAGCATTTGTATATATAGTTTTGGGGTGTGGACCTCAACCATTTCAAAGTTGTGACTCAGAAACTAGGTCTGTAGGCCTAGGGGTGTGGCCAGACCCCAGGGTCAATTCTCATATCATGACTGCATTCGTCTCTTTATGCCCAGCATTTGTATATATAGTTTTGGGGTGTGGACCTCAACCATTTCAAAGTTGTGACTCAGAAACTAGGTCTGTAGGCCTAGGGGGGTGGCCAGACCCCAGGGTCAATTCTCATATCATGACTGCATTCGTCTCTTTATGCCCAGCATTTGTACATATAGTTTTGGGGTGGGAATCTCAACCATTTCAAAGTTATGGCCCAGGGGTCAAGTCTGCAAGGGTGGGGCAGACCCAAGAGCCATTCTGGAAGCATATATGCATGTCTCTGTATACCCAGCAATTGTATATACGGTTATAGGGTGTGGACCTCAACCATTTCAAAGTTGTGACTCAGAAACTAGGTCTGTAGGCCTAGGGGAGTGGCCAGACCCCAGGGTCAATTCTCATATCATGACTGCATTCGTCTCTTTATGCCCAGCATTTGTATCTATAGTTTTGGGGTGTGGACCTCAACCATTTCAAAGTTGTGACTCAGAAACTAGGGCTGTAGGCCTAGGGGTGTGGCCAGACCCCAGGGTCAATTCTCATATCATGACTGCATTCGTCTCTTTATGCCCAGCATTTGTATATATAGTTTTGGGGTGTGGATCTCAACCATTTCAAACTTGTTACCCAGCAACTATGTCTGCAAGGGTGGTGCCAGACCCTAGAGTCATCTTGGAAGCAAATGAGCACATCTCTTTTTACTCAGCAATTGTATATATGGTTATAGGGTGGGGATGTCAACCATTTCCAAGTAATAAACTACTTTTGGCCCCAACCCTTAGCCCAGGGGGTCAGCCTGTCCACTTGTACAATTGTTAATCCTAACCAGGAAGGGATGCTTCCAACAATATAGTCGATATCCATCGCCGAGTTCCAGAGGTCACTTAAAGCAAAACAGCCAAATTACCCTTTTTAGCCCCGCCCCTCAGCCCCCTGGGGCGTCAACCCCCACCATTTGCACAATTTTGAATCCCACCTACCTAGGGATGCTTCCAGTCAAATATGGTTGACAACCATCACTTAGTTCAGAAAAGAAGTCGCTTAAAGCAGTATACCCAAATAACCTTTTTTGGCCCCGTCCCTAAGCCCCCAGGAGGCTCAGCCCAACCATTTGTACAATTTTGAATCTCTGCCATGAATGCTTCTGACCAAATATGATTGATACCCAGTGCATAGTTCTACAGAAGAAGTAGCTTATAGCCAAATTGCCCTCTTTTGGCCCCGACCCTCAGCTCCCTGGGGGGTCAGCCCCACCATTTGTACAATTTTAAATCCCTACCACCTAAGGATGCTTCCAGTAAAATTTAGTTAAATTCCAATCAGTGGTTAAGAAAAAGAAGTCATTTGAAGAAATTGTTGACGCACGGACGACACACGACGACACCATGTTATGGAATATGAGAAAATATTTTTCACTAAGGCATCTCCTGAGATAAACACTGTCTTCTTAATTACTGTAAGACTGTGTTTGGAGTTTGACACACTTACTGTCCCTGACCCAAAAGCTGAGGAACAAAGACAGAACAATATATGCCTATTCCATGCTATGACTCATGCACTTAAGACTCACAGACTCGCTTTGTATGACAAGTTACATAGTATTACCTAGAAATCTTATGATATAACAAGAGGCCCAATGGGCCTGCATCGCTCACCTGGTATAAAACTCACACTTGTAACCTTAAAAGTGATCTAAAATAAAGCTACAGGCAAAATATCAGTATTTATGATTAAAATTCGTTCAAAAGACCCTGTTAATTTTTTTTTAAACATTTCACCCCTGTGATTGAAAGTCGAACAAAGTCATTATGTTGAACACATTGTATAGCCTTTCATCTCAGGATGCAACTTGCAAAGTATAAACATCCTGGGACCCATGGTTATTCATAAGAGGTTGTTTAAAGATTTTAAACAAATTTGACCCCTGTGACCTTGAATATAAGTCAAAGTCATTCACTTTAACAAACATAGTAGTCCTTGATCCCAGCATATGCTACTAACTAAATATCAACATCCTGAGCCTTTTGG